CGGGTTGCTGCTCTCGGCAGAGCAACTTAGTATCTCCATTAACCTCGATGTAACACATTAACACAATCTGTGTTGACTGTGGTAAATTAATAGATAATAGGTACCATAAACCACTACACATCAAATATTCTCACGGACGCCAACCCCGCCACCAAGCAATGAACAACATCATTCTACAAGCTTTCGTAAAAGCTGACATACCATCCACCCTCGCAGTAGATATCCTTAATGACAGTTCTAAAAGACCGGATGGTATTACTTTTCTTTAATACCTTTGTCTAATGGCTTCCTTAGCCTGGAACTACACTTTGGATTTTTCATCAAAATCAAACAATTCATACTTGCTTTGGCCCACGCCAGTGGCCCCTACACTTTTTGAGTGAATGAAGCAGAATACCCCGAAAAGTACCCCCCCCCCCTTCGAAAAAATGATAATTATGACACCCATAAATTTCAAAAATAATTTTTATTGCATCAATTTTTAATATATAATATAAATAAAATGCAAAAAATATAACTTTATAAATATTATTTTTAAATTAATAATTTGGATAAATTAGGGGAAGAGAAAGTGAAAGAATTTATAATTTCATCAATATTTAATTGTTTAAATAAAAATTTTTCCATTGATAATATGGTTAAATTATTAAGAAAAGAATCTTTCATGGTACTGCGCAGTCTTGTTTTAATTAATTTAATTTTACTCATGACTCTTTCGGCAGTACATGAGATTGTGGGAATGGTTAATAAATATTTATATAAAATTCTTAAATTAGGGAAAGCAGAAAATTTTAAAGTAAACGATAAGGTAAAATAAATGTATAGTTTTTCCAATCTGAATCGTAAGTCCCTGAATTATCATCATCATCAGAAGAAGCTAAATAATGTATAGGTAAAAATATTTTAATTAATTAAATTTACAATTCTCAGAATCTGACAAATCTTTAGATTCTTGAACCTCTAGCTCATGAGTAATAATTACATTCCCCATTTTGGCCATCTTATAAATATTTCTAAACTTCCATTTCTTCGAAAATTTGATTTGAATTTGACTTGAATTTAAATTGTAAAATTCACAGATATCCTCGATATCTTCCTTAATAATTGATTTTTCTGCCACATTATTTGGCGTAAAAAATGATGTTTGATGTAAAAATTTCATCGAATCATCATTAAATCTTTCGTTAAACTGCAATAATTATCGAGTGCAGCATAAAACACACCTATTTTAAAGCTAAAAAAAATTTCTTTATTTAATGATGAAAGTATATATACCTCTCCTTTTTGGATTGTAATGTTTGAAGTTTAGAACTTTCAAAATCAAAAGGTAGATTTCTCTCCTTCATAAAATCTTTTGCCTTTGAGAAAATATCCAAAAATTCAGTGTTATTATCTATTAGATTAAAAAATAATTAAGACAATAAATAATTTATATTATACTTCTCAAATTAATCAAGCAATCTTTTGCCAATTGAATTTGATTTATTGCAAACCCTATATCCTTCGAAATGGTTTGCAATTTTGTACAAGCTAAACTTGTTATCAACAATATTTTATCCAAAACACAAAGTGATAAGATAAATAAAATCAAATTTTTCTATTCTAAAGACTATAGCACTAGCAATAGTGGAAGTGGCAGAATCTTTAGAATCCTTCTGCCCTCAAGGCATCATAAAGTAGAAAAAAATTTACAATAGCTTTATATGAGGATAACCAGCTTTTAAATAAAAAAACATTTTAAATCTAAATAAATAAGGTACTATTACCTAGTGGTATTCTTGAGGCGTAGAAATCGTTGCGATTTTTTCAGATCATTACACTGAAATTTTTTGAGCACCTTATATCTTTTTACACCATTAAAATAGACATAAATCTCATCTAGTAATCCTAGAAATTTCGAAGTTCTTTAATTGATTGGCATAATTGAACAACGATTAAATTTAATCGATCACAATAACACCAAATAAAAGATGCCTTATGCGCCTCTGCTCTAATCAAGGCTTGCACACTATTGATTCTTCCACTCATGTTTGAGGCGCCATCATAACTTTGCCCAACTAGATATTCAAGGGGTAAATTCATCGAGCCAAGTTTGGATATTATATTATGCTTTATATCGAGACCTGTGGTATTTCCCGTACAATATATGTCAATCAGTTTTTCAACAGGCTTCGGCGTCTCACTATTTTCAACATATCTTACTATCAAAGCTATTGCTTCTGATTTCGAAACATCGTATGTGCCATCAACTATGATTGAAAAGTACCTGTTAAATGTAATCTCATTTTGAATTTTTTTTATAACCATATTTTTCATGGTTTCAATGAGAATGTTTATGTAACCTATTATCATATAATAACAGTTATTATATGATAATAGGTTTGAATATAATTTCGTTTTTAATCCCTTATTTTTTTTATCCTTTTTTCTTTCTTCATTTTGCTGTATATACATTTTTAGTATAGGTTCAGAATCTGCCATCATATTCCCTTCTTGTTGCCTGTTCCCCCAGAAGGCTTGGTTACGAGATAAATAAAATTTACTAATAAATATTAAGTGGTGGGGGGGGGGTCTTATTATTACATTTATAAACCAGAAATCACATGATCATGATGGATGTAAAAAAAAAAAATTAAAATAAAAAAAATTAAAAAAAAGAAGTACCCCCACTCAAATTTACTGAAGCAGTTGCTTCGGACCCCCCCCCCCCCGTTGTAGGGGCCCCTGGCCCACGCCGAACTTTAAAAAGTAGCAAATACTTCGATCTTCAAAATATTACATTTATGTCCATATTTACCAACACCCTGGAAGTCTTTGTGACGAGGCTTTCCAATTAATTAAAAGCCTCGAAAATAAATAACTGTAGAAACCTGAGATCCCAACGAAAAGCTTTATATACGACAAGGGATTTAAAACTGACTATCTAACTTATTTTTTTTCCCGGCAATTATAATTTTTATATAATATTAAAATTATTAAGCTACCAAATATTTAAATGAATATTCATAAAAATTTGCATTTTTAAAATTCAAAAATTTGATAAATTTTGCACTTTGAGCGCATTTATCTTGGCCCCTGGGTGAGAATGAAATCTAAAAATTTTTCTAGACACTACACTACAAACTAGTGTTGTGCCCGATTCTGATCGATTTTAAAAAACGGTCCGATCAAAATTATAACAAAAATAATATTATATAAGTGTGGAGATTTTGCTCATAGATGGCAATGGTTCGAATATTTATTTGCCAAATTACGAGGCTCATTCATAATATTATTTTGGCTAAAGTTTTAATTGGGTTGTTTTTAAAAATCGACCCAAATCCGGCTTTTTAACAATAATACCACAAACAAGCCGAAAATCAAGATTTTTTAACTTGTCTTGAAATTCGCAATATTTTTTAAAAAATATTATGTTTGTTGTTTTTATGTTTTATTTAGTTTACCTAGATTTATAAATGTTTATATTCTGCAAGTTTTAAAATAATGTATTTTATAATTTTTAAAAGTGTTTTTTAAAATTAATATTTCAACTAAAAACCCATTACAATCACGAATCAACTAGTTCATCTGAATTCCTATTTGATCTTATTAATCTTATTGCCCAACAATAAAATTTCTTTAGTTATTTTATTAATACTCCTCATTTTTGTATTGTAATGCCATATAAAATCACCTTGTTAAGTATTATTAATATATCATAATAAATATTATTCATGCTTATTTTCACGTATTATCTTAATAAATTTTATTTTTACCTAATATCCTCTTAAACTTTTCTAAAATTTTGTTTTTATTATTATAAATGTATAACTATATTATTAATTGAATTGCCACAGGCAACAAGGGTTTAATTTTCTCTTCCTTTTTATTGTTTAATTTTATAATCTGTTCAAAAAAATTTGTCATTCGTTATTTTATAAATGAATGTCAAATATTATTTGATGTAGTAAAAAAACAGGAGTGTTAACACATTTCCTAAGGGCAGAGGTAATTTACGATTATTTGTATTTATGCTGGAAGAAATAGGCAATATTTATTTATAGGTTACTTCATTTCATTCTATAAGAAGAAAATTTATTACAAATATTTGGGTATTCAATCTGGGCTCGGAGGAGTTTTGAGATTATGACATGGTTAAAGCTAATAAAGAAGCAAAGGATGAAATAGGCATTAAACACTTATCTCTATAAAGAAATTTTTTTTTGGAGTGAACTTTAAACAATTTAATAGATTTGATCATCATATTTAACATATAATAATAATCAATGATTTTTTTTAAAATCGTTTGATTTGATTGGTAATTTAAAACAAATCATAGATAAAATAATTAATTTTTTTTTTCAGAACTCTTTCTAAATTTAAAGGTAATGGTATAAATAAAATTTTAAAAATATACCATGATCTTTCAGGCTCATACCAAATTCCTGTTCTGCTTTAAAATTTATGAAAAAACTCTGGTCTATTCTCAAAATATTTTTTTCACGATGCCGGGCTGGGCCGAATTTTGTAAATAAATTTAAAATTAGTATTTAGATCACATTACAGATCATTTTTCTTATCAAAAACAATAAAAAAAAACATTCATGCTCTTACCATCGATTTTTCTTTTAAACTATTTTTCAAGGATACGGCCAAAAATATTTCAATTGACCAATTTTTTTTGTATAACCCGGACCCGACCTGATAGGATCGGGTTAACAGCCCGGGTAATAATAATCACTGCAGTCTCCGAAAAATATTATTGCTTTGATAATTTAGATTTTCATTTATTTTACTTTAATCCTACAATTTACTTTCTGATGACATTTTTAATCTGATTATCGCATGTCCTTGCATTTATAGCTAGCGCGGATCCGCTGCTTGCCGCGAATTTGCGTCAACTGTGAATACAAGATATGCGAGGCTTATTATATTTTTTTCATAAATGAATGTTGTGCTTATTCAATATTAATTAAGGATATATTTTTTGTTTATCTACAATTTTTAAAACATTTATATAGTTGGTATTTTGGAGCTTTGAAACGACAAGAAGCCCAAGATATTCTGGAGAGAGAACTTGACATGGGTACTTTTTTGATCAGAGATAGCGCCACATGCCCCGGAGATTTCGTTCTTTGCGTGAAGTATAAAAATTTTTTTTAAATATAAATATTATACCTACAGGACCGGCTCAAAAAACTTTCTTGTCGGACCCGATTCGATTTTTTATTTGGAAGGTCAAAATTCTATCCGTTATGAACCATTATTTGTAGAAATAGGTTCAATCTGATTCGACGTGAAATAGTGTCTGAGTTTATCCAAAAAAAATAAAGATGTTTAATAAAAATTTTAAAATATTTTTCATGGAAAGCAGGAAAATTATAAGCGCTCGAGGAAATTATTAGTGACCAAAATATCAAAAAATTAAATTCAGTAACTTTCGAAACCTTACATGAAAATCAATAAATAAGTATTTTAAATATAATAAAAACATGCCCAAAACATAATTCTAGAAAAATTTTAACATACTATTCATTAAAATTTAAAAATTTGCGAAAGTTTTACAATTTTTTAAAAAAGATTTTGGGCATAGCCTAAAAAGAAAAAAAAGTATTTAAGGAAAACAAAATAATTTACAATTTTGCTGACATTTAACTGGCCAATACCGAGACCGACAGAACCTTGGCCCTATCGACTCCTAAAGTCGGTTTTACCAATTCGAGTTTTGTCGGATCAAAGGCTTTTGCAGGCTTCTAAACTGAATGCGGGAAGATGTTAACGTAATTAAGCAGATAAGATAAAAATTACGCAATATTATGATTAGTAATTTAAAATTTATGTCATGTGACAATACTGCCTTTGACCAAAAAAAATATTTTAAACAAAACGCATATTACTACTATACTATCACGTTTTTTTTTATTTTAATTTATTTAAAAAAAATATATTTCGTAATTACATAATATTCAATTTCAAAAAAAAGATAAGTGCATTGCCTTACAAGATAGAGGATATACAATACAATACACCATAATCAAAAGGGCTGAGAAAATAGAATTTGCAATTATGATTAAATACTTATAAATATTTAATAATTAATACAATTAATTTTATATAAATTTATTCAAAACATAGTCATCATGTTTATATAACACAATTTTTTTTTTATCATGAGCAATTTCACTCTTTACTTCCCTTCCTATAGGACTAATTAATGTTATATATTATAAATTCTTATTTATTATAATAAAAAAAGGAAAAGCCTTAAATTTATGGATATTAATTATAATAATAAATAAAATATATACATTTCATCATTTATAATATAAACGCTCTTTTATAATAGTAATTTCAAAAATGTAACAAATATCTTTTGATTGGATAAAGATATTTTTATTTTTTTTTTCAAAAAAGGGGGAAATAATTTCCAAACAATTTCTAACAAATTAGGTGAGATAGTGTTGTTCAGAAATTTATAAAGAACCCGCATAATTTGTTATAATATTTTCTCGCTTTTAGTATATTGATTTCGATACCAGAGATCTTAAAATAAATATACACGAGAAACACGAGCAAAGTGTTAAAATGTCTAAAATTTGATTTATAATCTATATACGTTTATAAGAGTTTAAGGCACATTAAATAATATTTTCAAGGAAAAAAAAACTATTTTTAGAATAATTTTAAAATGTTAAGAGTATATTCTCATCACGAAATCAATAATTACGCATTTCAAAAAATGTACAGGGAAACAAAAGCTATTCGTCACTACATAATCAAAAAGATGGAGGCAGCCGCGGGAAATCGAAACAGCATACGTTTCAAAATCGGGGACGAAATTTTTTCCGACGTAGCTAGCCTTCTTAGGCATTACACAACTAATTGCCTGGATAACAGCACCCTTTCAAAACCAGTATAAAACTTCATCTTTTAATAAGTGCACCCATTTATGTCCCAGGCTTTTTGAATATTTTAATCGAAATTTTTTTTCGGTTCGGAAAAAATTTGTTTTAAACTCTTTTTATACACAATAAAACTTGTTATGATGACGACCGCGAAATAGTTACTCAATTAATTGGCCTCCAAACCATATAATACAATTTTTACAAAATCAACTGGTTATTTTATTGATATAATTTATTTATAATAATTCAGTCAAGGATGTCTAGTTTTAGATTATCTATACAAAAAAAATTATTGCTTTTTTTTATAATTAGCTGTGGCTTAGAGAGTTAGAGATCTAGACTGAAACATACATGAGTTCAATCCCTAGCTGCACGGTTTAAAAGAGTTAGAATGTATGGAGATAATTTAAATATGGAATAGATGCTAGCTTTGCATAAACATAGCAATTGCTATCTCAAGTCACGGCCAAATTTTAATTGTTGTAATTTGATAATTTATTAAGAAATAAGTGTTGTTTAAAATGGAGCTGCAACTATTTTTAAGCAGTGAAAGTTACGGTCCTATCTTTGGTCTGGGCCGATATCACGGTTCTTTAAAAAACCGGTCCCGACCTGGTACTAAATATAAACATCGGTTCAGGACAGGTTTTTTTATTTTTTTTTGTTATTTTAAAAATAACATAATTTTTCCATAATTTAAATCTTGCTTTATGATTTTATTAAATATAAAAGTATTTTATGTTAACAATATTAAATCAAATATATAAAACAATTAGTTTATTAAAAAGTTAAATACTTTTTTGACAGATATTTGATTTTCAAATATTTCAAAATAAAAATGAATTAAAAAAGAAAAAGAATCACAAAAACTAAGGTAAATCCACTAGAAAAGTAAAACAAAATAGAATATATACAAAAATGTGAATTGAGTAATAAGGCAAACTTAAATACTAATAAAAAACTTGTCCCGACTGTGATCCTCGAAAAAAGACCGGTTCGTTATCCGGTCCGTTCCTAGTCTAAGACCGATAGGGCCGGGCCGTTGACCTTCACCATTCTTAAGTTATACTATAGATTTTATAAAAATATTTTAACATATTTTTAAATGAAATATTATGGGTATCTAATTTCACTTTTCTTCAAAATTCACCCTTTTTAAATTAAAAAGAATCCTCCAAAAATTTATTTTGAAGAATATTTTTTTTTATAAGAATATTTTAAGAAATTCCACCACTGTAAAAAAAATGATTGTCGAATTAGAACTTTCAATTTAATATATAATATTTTAAAATGATTATTTTTTTTTAATAGGCCGCCAAATTAAAATTCATCGCACTTTACGATTTTCAAGGAAAAGTTACTAAAAATTTATATATATTTTTATCATTATTTAAAAATAATTTTTCATTTTATTATACCTCTATGCAAAAAATAGAAATAACATTTAAAAAATATCGTTTTTTGAGATTTGAAAATTAAAGTTAATTATGGAGTCTCTACCATTTTGTATCTATCATTAGTTCTGCATAATGACAGATAATCTTTTTGCCCTCTAGCAACGCCTGTGTTTAAAAAAATTAACCAAGGCTGCATTTATAGTAAACTCGTTTTGTTCAAGCGTTGCGTTATTACAAAATAAAGCCAATAAATAGGTATAAATTTATAAATATGGAATGTCATGTTTGAAAAATATGCGTTGCGATTATAAGAAATATGCAATATGATTATAAAAATAATAGCGAATTCGTTAAAAAGATATATATGATTTTTCTTAAATATTATATAAAATAATTCTTTTTTAGCTTTATCTTAAATTAGTTTTTGAAACTGATATAGCTGTAATAACGTAACGCTTGAAGATAACACGTTTAATAGCGTAATAATGGATTATTTCTAAACATTATATTTATAATGTTTGATTTTGATATCATGTATACAAAATAGGATAGCGAAGATCTGCCATTTAAAAAGGGACACACTTTAACTGGCATCAAGAAAAATGAAGAAAATTGGTGGACAGCAAAAAATGAGGAAGGAGCCTGCGGGACCATACCATCAACTTACATAAAAATAGTTAAGTTATGATTATTTTTTTGTTTATTTTTTTAAACTATGCAGTAGAAACTCCATAACTACAGGGATTCGAACCCGTCAAAATTTTTGCCCGGTTTCGGTTCGGTTTAAGGAAAAAAATAGGTAGGTTCGGTTCGGGTTCTGTTCATGGAAATATTTTTAAACCCAGGTTTGGTTTCGGTTCATCTCGGGTATAAGAATTTTTAAATTGATAAAAAAATATTCTATATTTATATCATAATTAAAAAACTAGACATAGATTTGGTATAAGAAATAAATTTTTTATTTTATTTATAGGCAAAATATAGTTAAAAATACAAAGCATAGTCATGTATCAATTTTAAAAATTTTATTTAGACGTATTTCTTTAAATTAACAATATCCTATATAATAATTTTTTTTACTTTGACTTGTTCACTTTAATTTTTCTCTAATTAATAATCGTTGAGAATAAGTTAAAAATTAAATGAATATCATTGTTTAAAATTTATTAGCACTCCATAGGAATCTTTGGAAATAAATTTAAAAATATTTAAAAATGGGGTAAATGAATTAAGTTGTTTAATTTATTAATACTTCACTTAATTGGAAATTTGAAAATATTATAAAATCTCAATTAAATTATTCATATATTTCTATTTACAATTATACAAATATCTTATATGATTTTAAACAATACACTGAACCCGGTTGAATCCGGGTTTAAATAAAATTCCTGGGTTCGATTCGGGGTTTTGAAAATTTTATAAACGGGTTTCAGGTTCGGTTCGGATTCAGATTTTTTCCCCAAAAACCCGGGTTTTCTTCTCCGGGTTCGGTTCGAATCCCTGCATAAATATGAATCATTCGAGGATAATTAACATTTTGATTAATATAGGATTAGAAGATATGTTGGCTCAATGAAAAAACATTTATAAATTATCTTTATTTTGGCTTATATACCAATACCACAGGACTGTGAGCCCTCTGTAAAAAACATGTGTTGACATCTACTTTTGAAACATTTTTAGAGTTAGATAGGACAGTGTCCTTTCTCCTTCTAAGTTGACATAAACACTCCCCCCTACCTTTAAAAAAGTTATGCCAAATTTTAAATCTTTTAAACGGCATCGAAGGGGGGGGGTCATTTGCCTCCATATATCATATAGAGTATACTCTTAGGAGGGTAAAGAGTGAAAAATATTTTGGGGTAAGCAGTAAATCTTGGCATGTTTCATCCTATTTTTTTTCTCTCTCATGAAGTCCCTCACAGATTGTGGTAAAGTAGGGGGCACTGGGGTTATATTGTCCATAAAAATTGAAGAGCTATAAAAAATAGATAAGGCAAATTTTTTAAAATGTTTAAACATATTTTTATTCTTTACGTATATCAATGGCCGAAATTAATATTTAAGAAACAAATTTTTAGTTTTTTATCAGTATAAAATTTAAACAAAATGAAAATTTGGGAATTATGAAAAACACTCGGAGTACCTATTATTCTTTCACATTGCGTGTCTTATCGCTTCTTTTTTTAAAATTTTTTATATATAAAAATGCTAATTCTAAATAAATAAATGAAAATAAATTGCCAAATATGTTAAATTCATTAGTTTCATCTATATTGTATATAGGGCTTACCGAGATTTAATATCGGATCAGATCGGGCCGATTTTTAAATAAAACCCGATCCGATATTTTTTTATTGTTTTTGATTATTTTATAATTTATAATAATATATCTTTTTAAATTTTATAAATAATTTCATAATAATAATTTAATGAAAAATATAAAATTTATTTGTTGTAATGTTTTAATTATCTTTAAACTTTAAAATATCTAACAAGTCACATTGAGTTAGTGTTGTTAAACGACTCGATTTAGCCAATTTTAAAAACAATTAACTCAAAATTTTGGCCAAGAGTAAATTACCCATGCTTATTGATTTTTCCCACAGATATCAGAAATGTTTGGACTAGTGATCTGCATCGGGCTTTATTTTGCAAACCCGGCCCGAACCCGATTTTTTTTAAAAAAAATTTACCAGCCCGATCCGGCCCGAATTTATTTAAATATAGAAATTAATTTTTATAATTACTCAAAATAAAAGACATATGTTATATGTCGTTTAGTTTCAGTAAATAAAATCAAATATTTTTATTTTACATAAAAAATACAATATAAAATTGAGAAATTTAGATATATTTGAAAAAATTCCAAGGTCCGACCCGACCCGGCCCGAATTTTTTTAAAAAATATTAAGCCCGGCCCGACCCGAACCCGGTTATTTTAAATAGAATTAGACCCGAGTCTTGCTCGAAGCCCGCGGGCCGGGTACGGGCCAGGCCTAACTTTGCAGATCTCTAGTTTGGACTTCTATTGGCGAAATTTCGAGGCATAGGCAATAATAATTTGGCTAAAATTTTGATTTGGTCCTTTTAAAAATCAGCGAAATGGAACTGTTTAACAACACTGCATTCATCCATAAACATTGAAATTATTTTAAATGAGAATATTAACTTAGAAAAAATGGAAAAAATAAAATTCACTTAATCATTCGTGAAAGTTGGTTTTTTTAAGGTAGAAAATATTGATATATTTATGACATTGATACAAAGATAGATTGTAATTAAAAATCAATATGAATATAGTTTAGTAATATCGGATCGGTGAAAAATTGGTGAATCTGCCAGCACTGCTCGAATTATATATATATATCACCAGAAAGAACTTGCTGTCACTTAAAACTGTCAAGCAATTTACAAAAAATTAGTCAATCATTTTGATAATTGTGGGACCCTATGGAAACTAGTGGCCTCTGTTCTTATAAATAGGATTTTTTTTATTCAAAATAATCCCTGCTTAAAAATGGCTAATACGTGCCCTACCAAAACCTGCCCCAGGTCTTCACAATTAACTAAAATTTAATTTGAGGATATTAAATTACCATAAATAATGTTAGTATTTTTAACATGATAAAATTGAGTTTACTTTATCATTTAGAATTGATATTTAGTATAAGTAACATTTATAAAAAAAATTAGTATAAATGTAAAAAATTAAAATGTTACTTTTGACGTGTTAAAATTTAAATTTGCATTTAAAATTTCTCATGAAGCAGTGTAACATTTTTAGACCTACTTAAGCGCCATATTAAAATAGATATTTGACTTAAATTTCAAATCTCAAAGTTTATTAATTTTTGAATTATTTGAGAAGAAATTACCTACCCTGGAATAAAACTATCCCCTATGATGAGCCCTACTAATTGCCTTTACTCTTATTTGTGTCTTTAAAACATATTTTTTAATAAATTTATAAGTCACATAAAATAATATACACTTTAACAATACTATATGAACTTAAAACTTTAGCCAACCTCAAGTCATATTATTGATATTTTTTATTTGATTGGGTACGTTGATTTCTGATCTTATTACTTGCATTAGGGCTTTAAGGCGTGTCTCTTGCGCACAGAGGTAACAATTGTAGTCAGCCCCTTCCCCCATTGGCATAATCAAAATAAGGGAAAAGCGGGATTGAGGGGGCAAAATAACAATAATTATGTCTTAAAACCCGGCCCCCCATACAATTCTAATCATGTTATTGTATCATAATCCCCCCCCCCCCACCCTCCGAGATAGATGACTATGAGGTAGCATATCGGATGTAAATCTCGCAGGGCTGGCTTTCCATATAGACCCAGCCCATGGCCTGAAAAATATGAATTATATATTTCCATGCCATTCTTTCATTTTCACTTGATTAATTATCACAATTATAAAATGAATTTTAAAAATTGGAAAAGTTTTAAGTAAAAATCAAGATGGATACATTTACTATTAATTTTCTTATATTTTGTAAATAAGTAAAAATCATTAGCAACGTTATAATTTGTTTAATGAGTAAAATTAAAATAAATATTTTGAATTTGAGTTCCTCTGCTCTATATGCCTTTTCATCGAAGGATTAGATGACAAAAAAAATAAGAGCTAACTATGTGAACTATATAAGATTATGTTGGCTGTCCGACATACCAGGAAAGTGTTGAAAGGGTCTTCTCTATAATATTTTTTAACAATATTAAATTCGCTTTTAAATATTTTGTATCCAATAATTTCTAATTCAAAATTTAGCATTTTTCAGAGAAAAGGCCATGGTTGAGTTGATAATTTTGGATAAAGTTTACACTTTTATATATTATATACTTATATAACATATATTTTCGGAATTTCGAAAATCATAATAGGTGTCATAATCATGAGTTTCTACAAAAAAAAGATATCACGAGTTTTAATCTTGAATAATATATTATTTTTTTGGCATCTAATATTTATGAATCAAGTGTGAAATATATATTTTTTTTTAAAATGTAGTTTCCTTTGATTATTATCTTCTCAACTTTTCTTTTGCCTTCTTCACATGACGTTATGAAGAAGAAAATTTTAAATCATCAGAATAATTATTATTAAAAAGATAATTAACCGACCACAAAAATAAAATTTTTTTATAATAAAACTAGGTTACAAACTTTAATTTTGTTTTTAAGGTCAGACATGATCACTATTATATTCTTTCATTCATTTTTCGATTTACAATATATCTAAACTTAAATATATAATTATAAAATTGTAGCTTAAATCCGATTCCTCCACTCCATTCCAAAATACTTCTAATAACATAGACGATTCTCCCATTTCTTTGTCAATGCCTCAGCCCAATACCATTAATTCTAATCAGATCCACGCCAACGGTTTGTTCGATAACCTAAAAAATAGCGCGGAAAATAAAAAAATTACCTCTTATAACCATAACAATATCGCAAATGGCCACAATTCGAATAGACTCAAGGATGGATTCCCCAAAGTTTTGCAAAATTTGCTCGTTCCTCCAAAAAGTTTACCGGCTCTCGCCTTAGTGAAACAAGTCAGAAATCCTAACGCCTACGATAAAACGGCTCTCAAATTAAGGGTAAAAATTTTTTCCTACTCTTATTTTGTTATTTAACAAATGATATCTTTTTAAGAATCATTTTATAATATATATGATAAAAAAAAGGTAAATTGTACATATTAATAGTATATTTAAGTATGTCGAGCCAGTTTTTTTCCTATTCCCAGTGAAATAATTATCTTAAAATATAATTATTATAATATAGTAATTAATAAATATAGATTTATTTTTAAATGCAGCTATATAAATTATGATACAACAATAAAGTTATTACACAATTACTATTTTATAAACAAATGTCAAGTGATTTATGATTTAAGGAAGTGATCATATTAGAAAGAAATAAATCAATTGGTATCTTAAATAATGAATGTATTCCTTCTAGGTTGGCGACATCGTAAACGTGACAAAAATGAATATGAACGGGCAATGGGAAGGGGAATTAAATGGAAAATCTGGATTTTTTCCTTTCACTCACATTCAATTCATCGAAACTAACGACCAAACGAATCTGTTGATGACAAATCATCATCACGACGATAAACTCACTAACTGCCTCATGAAAAACGGTATAAACGGAAATAAGAAGAGTAATGGAATCATCGAATCAACAACCCTTATTTCATCCTCAGTCACTTCTATATAACTTATAGTTTTTTTTAAATATTATTTTTTTCTCGACCCTACTTTTTAAAAAAAGAGTTACCCTCGCATGTCTATAATATAAAAATTTTTTTTGTAACGAAAATGTAATCCTATGCTCTATCAGATTTTTTTTTAAAAAATGATAGCTTATTTATTAATAAATATTATTATTTTATAAAAAACAATTTTAAAATTGCCTACTTTTATACTTTTGTGATCTCGAATTACTTATATAAATAATAGGTTATACATGTAATTTTCTCTTTATTGTTTAATTTAATAATAAATATCCAAAATAATAATCTCAATCCATATCTTATATTTGTTTGCGAGAATAACCCTTCTAAGTTTCTCGTTTCTAATTAGAGCTTGCCAATTATAAAATTATTTTTTATATACAAATATATTATTACAAAAAATTTTTAAATCACTTGTGCATTGTAAAAAAAAATATAATGTCCATCAATTATTGATAATAAATTTATATCATATTTTATTATTATATTATAATAATTTCATGCATTTTTTATTCGGCCCATGAATTAAATAATATATATTTTATATAATCTACATAATTTATATAAATTTCGCTATATAATGTTTATATAAATATGCGAATTTAGTAATAAAATAATATCCATATACTTATATTAAAATAATCGACGCACTCCGAAATTTTGAAAAATTTAATTTTTATCTTATTTTCTAGCTGAAAAGTTTAGTATCTGTTTGGAAGGATTGGGCTATATCGCGGATATTTGTATAATAGATAAACTTTTCGAAAAGATCTTGTATCCAAGATAAAAATTATTTTAAAATATCTGTATCTTAATCAACTTTGCATTTTAATAGATACAGATTTAAAAAAAATATATTAGTTAATTTAAATATTGTTAGAAATTAAATGAAAAATTTAATTCGATTTAAGATAGGGTAATTAGAGAACTCAGTGAAAGAGCGTTTTCAGCTGCTGGTAGGGCCTTTGAAGAGAAAAGGACTAGTTTTAAGCCAGATAAACTGGACTCCCAAAATTATTCGCTTTGTGATACTTTTGATAATGATATTGATATGTCATTATAATATGTTCTTTATTATATTTTTTAGTCTCTATATTACTTATTATATCATCTACATTCGACATAAATCATGCTTATTGTTTTTATATAATGGCAATAATTTTTAAATTCGATTGTATTTCAACTTATAATATTTTTTACAAATTAAATTGCAACTTAATATTTATCTTGTTGATTAGATTATGGCTGTAAACAAACTTTTATTTGAGGAGGCAAATGAATAATTACCCAAAATTTTTTTCATATTATAATATTCAAACTCAAATTGTAAAATTTTATTTAGGCTCGGGTCGGGTTCCACTAAAAATGTGTGCTCGGGCTAGGATAAAAAAAAAGTTTTTTAAATTCGGACTCGGGCTGCAAAAAAATTACTTTGCAGACCTTTAAGGGTAATGATATATGATGTTGGTCGTCATATAACAACTTGTTAAACAACTATGATATTATTAAAATCGCTATACATCCATCATTACCCAATAAATTATGAATCAAACTATCGAAGATATAATAATAGAATCCGAAAGTACAAATATAAATTAAGCATATTAAATTGAAATTTATTTGAAGTCACCCAACATGAACATACCAAATGAATAATAAAATAACTGCAGGAAGGAATTCCATAAATTTGTAAGTGGCTTGCAGACTCGTCATCTAATTTCGCCAAGTAATAGAATATATAATTTTATTAAACTCGCATTTATAATGGTATTCAATTCACATTCAAAATAGTTATTAAATAAATTTTTATATTATAAGAAATCATCTAGAATTAAAGAATAAGAAAAAATATTTTAAAAATAAAAGATAAAGTAAAGTAAATTTCTGATCTTAAATATTTTATTTATTTTGTTTCACTGATAGAGACGTCATCTAGAATCATAATAAATTACATAAATCATCACAAAATATTACACAAAGAGAAAAAACAAAAAAATATTGTGAAAACTTTAATAATCTATTACCTTCTTTTCTAAGGAATGCATTTATTATCTATAAGCTTGACAATAAAAATTTGTAAAAATAAAGGTTAATTAATTTAATAGTTTTATCTTATCTTCTACTTGTCAAGTTATTAGAACTATTATCTTAATGGATTACCATTCCAATTTAAAAAAATTCTCAAAGATCTTTATGGATAAATGTTTCAGATACTTTACTTTTAAATTAACTTAGACTTAACACTCTTATACAGTAGAGCGGTGTAAACTTTCTCGCCTAATTTAAAATAGCGTAAACTTTAAATCTACTCTTATACAGTTGTGCAGTGTAAACCGTACAGGGTTGCGTATAGTAGTTAATATGTTTAGGAATAATAGTGTGAATCATCTTGCTACTAGAATTTAGTTTGTAACTTAAATAAAATGTGTCGGGTTTCAAGTCGTCCTTTGTAAACGCAAGTGCACTTGTTTTTTTTGTTGATTTTAAATTAGTGATCGAATACTAAGATTCACACCGTGTCTCTACCCTCGAAATTCCCGAACGATCAACTATTTGATTCCTCCTCCATAACCTTTAGTGATGCCCGCAATGGCCCAGAACACAATTTGTTTATTCGATAATGCATTATTCGAATCGTATAATTTAGAGAAAAATTAGTATACCTTTAGTATATAAAAGTACAGGTGGGTATCCAATGGGGAGGGGGGGAAGGAAATTTGCATATTCTCAAAAGTATCATTTTAAGCTAATAAAATCCCCCCCCCCCCCCCCCCCCATGTATACAATATATCGTTAAAAGGGAGTATTGAAAGAAAAATTCATAAAAGTTAATAACTTTTTAAAATAATGACTATAATTCAAATTTTATTTTAAAAAGGATTTTAATATAAAAAAAGTGAAAACCAAAAATTATTTTAATAAAAATCTAATATAGCCAAAGGCCTACAAAAATTGGACCTAAAGATTTTCAGAAAAATTGATGGAGAAAAAATTCATCTAATAGTACCCCCCCCCCCTCCTGGATATGCTATTGTAAGAATATTTTAGCCATTTTTTTGTTTTGGTCATAATTTTGTGTTTATATTTTCTTTTGTTTGATTAATTTGCAATAGTGATATCGGGCTTAATTTTTCAAGCGGCCCGAACCCCAATTTTTTTTTAAAAAAATTTATCCGGCGCGGCCCGAAATTATTTAAATATAGAAATTAATTTTTATTATAATTACTCAAAATAAAAGACATAAGTTATATGTCGTTTAGTTTCAATAAATAAAATTAAATATTTTTATTTTACATAAAAAATTCAATATAAAATTGATAAATTTAGATATATTTAAAATAATTTCCAAGGTCCGACCAGACCCGGCTCAATTTTTTTTAAAAAATATAAGGCCCGAACTTGATTATTTTAAACAGAATTAGGCCCGAGTCCGGCCCGAAGCCCGTACGGGCCGGGCCGGAGGCTGTGCCTAACTTTGCAGATCTCTAATTTGCCTTTAAGGGAAAAATATTTCCATTTTGTATCTATAAAGCTAAATAATAATTTTAAAAAAAAATCACAACTTGTTTTTTTTGTTAAAATAATTATTGAATTCTATTTTATCTAATTTAATATTGATTTTAAATTATACATATCAGTTATTATATTTTTATTTTTCAAACAACTAATAAATATGTAAAGTAATTTAAAATAAATATTGTTCCCACTAGCTAAATTAATAGTAATTAATATTAACTTCTTAGTCTTTGTGAATTATTTTTGTTATATTAATTTGGTGATCATAATCAAATCATTACCAACTGCCTGCCCTGCATTTTAATACAAGCCTCATGTGTGTATTTCAATGTTTCTTTCAAAATAAATATACTTAATATGAAATTTTTATCTTTAATTGTTGCGAAATGCGAATAATCATCAGCAATGGAATAGCTGCTTGGGTCACTCTATTGAGATTGATCATTGAATGAGAAGAAAATATAATCTGGGAATCTTCAATAATTGATGTTTGCTTATTATTAAATAAGGAGTATAGTTAAAATGTTTACCCATTGAAAATCTTAAAATTGTAAATGATTTATTATATTCTTAACTGATATATAATATAATACAAAATGTATAAGAAAATATAATGTATACACAAGATAAAAATATATAAAAAGAGTTGCCATATTAAAAATAGTTATATAAATAATATATAAAAAGATATGTAATATCATATTTGTATTTCATTTTTTATTCTTTCTCTTCTAGTCATAGCTGTAGGTTGGACATGGATGTTTGACCCTTTTTGATAATTAGTTTTTTTATATAAAAAATATTGATTAAATTGAGTTGGTGTTTTAAAATTTTTAAAATGATTTTAAAATTTATGATAAAATAATTTTGTTCCGTTGTATATATCAATGGATTGATCTTCAGCATCCTGATATTATTATTAAAGCTATTCGAATTTTTATTGTTATGATTGTTTTCAATTAAATGATGAAGCTTAAAATAAAATCATTCTCAATATTTTTCAAGTATAGATAAAATGGGGGACTAGTGCAACATTCACCTAAAGCTAAATAATTGGGGTACATTTACAAAAATTTCTTTGACATAATATATGCCTAAATAAAAATATCAAATATATTAACAACAAATTAACCTGATGATATTGTGCAATTTGCACACTCCCAATTTAACATGGACATGATATGTATATTAATTGAGCACAACATTTCAAATCTTTATCACCTTTTTTAAATGATAATTTATAGTATTTTATCTTATATAATAATATTATCCAAATTGAGATTTTAATAACAACCAATATTCCAAATTCATTTATTCTCCACGAAAATACATCGCAAAATACAAGTCAATATATTTTATTTATATATAAAAATATCCTAAAATTTTGATATATATAATAAATTAATTAGAAAATTAATGAAATCCATGAAAACAAATGTCAAGATCTTTTCTCTCCATTGTAAGAATTATGTGTAATTTATCTATTTTAAATAAGCGAACTCAACTATAATATATATACAAAAAATGATGTGATATTGTTTCAACATAATTATTCCTTTGATTTATATTTCTAAAAATATTGTATAATAGAAAAAAATTAAATTAGTATTAGAAATAATAAGTTATAATTATTTACAAAATAATTTTCAATTTAGTTACTTTTGATATTTAACGGTGACTACTAACTAGTAACTGGTTATTTATAAAATACAACGTAGCTAATAGTATTGTTAAAAAGCCGAATTCAGGTTAAATCTTTGTGCTAAATCTTTAGGCTTACTTTATGTTATTTTGGAATCTCACTCAGGCCGTTTTTTAAAATCGACCCGAATCCGGCTTTTTAATAACATTAGTCTGAAGATTCTAGTAGATCAGAATAGTATAGACATCTATTTACCAAATCTTGAGGCCTATATAATATTTTTCGTTGGCTAAAATCCTGGTCGTTTTAATAGACCGACGGGCTTTTTAACAACACTTGGGAATGGTGCATTTTTGCCGGTACACCTTTATCAGACAATTTTTTTAATTCTTCAACTGTTCTAAAAAAAATTGACAATTAAACTATAAGTTAAAATATTTATGGAAGTAACATATCAGGTCCATTACAAACACTCTTTTAACAACAAAAAAGTTGTCTTAATATTTTTAAAATTAAATTTTTAAAATAATATTTGCAAATTTGTTTTATTTGACTAATTTCTAAATGCCCAGTTTGAGAGATTCCATTGAAAGTTTCATACATGCCATATTCGCTTATTTAATATATTTAATTCAGGAATGCATTCATCTTCCAAAAAGAAAAAAAGAAAAGAATCTGATAGGAATTACGACAGGCATGGCCATAGGAGCAGAAGCCGGAAAAGAAGTAGAGAAAGGCGAAGCCGAGATAGATATGACGATAGGAGAGATAGACGTAGAAATGACGGACATTCAAATAGAGGTAAATATGATTATGGAGGAGATTATGAATCAGCAACTCATAGTAAAAAACATTCAGATAGATCAGAAAATAACCAGAATGATCAACAAATAAATGACTTTTTAAATAGTTTAGCACCACAAATGAAGTCAAATCAAAATACTGAAGACCAGACTGTTAAGAGAAAACGCAAAAGTAGGTGGATGGCCACTTCAGAGGTTGTTGGAGTTCCAACTGTTTTACCTCCTAATTTAACCCCTCTACAGGAAAAAGCATTTTTATGTAAATTTTGATGCACTATAATTTTATATATATTTATATTTTAGTGCAACTTAAGATTGAAGAGTTTGGTAAAAGATTAATAACTGGAAAATTGGGCATTCCAGAAAAAGTTGAAGATAGGTACTAATTTCTACAAATTTACATAATAATTTTAACAATTTATAAATTTATATAATTTTTTTTTCAGATCCTTAGTAATGCTTTAAGATATACAAAATTAATAGTAATTTTGTAATGTTATTTTAGCATTAATCAATTTTTAGATCATGGTAGTGACATCAATCTGTTGCCCATTATTTATAATAATTTAATATGTTAAATCTTATTACTATTAGATACTTGCTAAGAGCTCTGGCTGGAAATAAAAAAATAATTAATATATATTTATTTTAGCTGAGGTAATAAAATTTTAATATTAATATTTTTTTACATACAATTTATTATATAGTATTTTTGTTTTTTTAAAACCCTTTGGTTATGATAATAAAACGAAATTCATTGAAGATCACCATCACCTGAACCTATATATAACAATTTAGGTATTAGGATGAACACAAGGGAAGTACGTACTAGAAAACGCTTAGAGGAGCAAAGATATGCTATGATTGCTGAGTTGATTAAAATTAATCCAGAGTATAGGCCACCTTTGGATTACAGGTATTTATTTGTTTTTTTTAAAATTATTTAAAATATTATTTCATTAAAATAATTAGTAAGATAAATATTAAATCAGAATAAAATTAAATTATGACTGATGATCTGCATAGGTCAGTAATTTATTGACAACCAAGGGGAGGAGAGTGAGAAATCCTCAGTAAAAAATTTGCACCATTTGTAAATATCACTTTAAGCTAAGGATGCACTAATATTTTTTTATGAAATGAAATATTGTTTATTGACTGATATAATTAAATAATTTAAACCAAATAAATGAAACTTTAATTAAGTAATTTAACAATACAATTAATTTAAGAAAATAGTATATTTATATTAAGGTTAAATATTGTATATTTTATATAAATTCAAATTTTAATATCCTTTTTTGAGTAATGAGATTCATTAAAAGAGCTTGGGATATATTTGAATTCGAGCATTAAAATTTGATTTATATAAAACAGACTTGTAGAGGTACCATTTGCTTGGCCATTAGTGTGCAAATATTTAAAAAAACGGACCAGCTCAGCCTGGGTTTATTATTTTCAGGCCTGTTCCAGGTATTTTTAAAAAAATTTTTTAGGGCCGGCCCGGGCATTAAAAAAATTAAAATAGGCCCGGTGTGTACCCAGGTCTGCAGGTCTTTGATATAAAATATACAATCTATTTAGTAGTATGGTTAAATTGCTTGGTTGGATTGAATTAGTTTTATTTTTGGTAGGTTTTTGGTGGAAAAAATGAGCCAGAACAAACCCAACCAAATGGGTTTATCTGGTTGACCAAATCCATAGACCCAAGTGTTGACTCAAGCACCAACTCTAAACCAACATATTAATATGATAAAAATTATTACTTTTTAAGAAAAAGGAGAAGTTGGTGCCAGCTAGATAGTAATAAGTAGGATATATAAGAATAATTATGAATGGGTTGGTTCTGTTTGATTTTTAGACCAAAAACCAGGGTCGTGATTGTGTAAAACCAACCAATTAACCATACTACTATTTAGTCTTCACAGCAAGTTTCATCTTATTTAAAAGTCAACCAAAAATCACGTTATTTCAGTCGATTTGTCATGATATCTATCCAATGAGTCTATTATATTTAACAGTTGCTTTTCTTTGATATGTTAATTTCACAAACTTCAGACTAGTCACGTTTCAAATTATGTTTGACTTGGAATAAATTGAGATATATTTTTCCTTCATTATGCTTTCATATGTAATTTTTTTTAGATTTGAAACATATATTTTTTAAGATTTTTGACTTAATTGTGTAGGTATGAGGTATATATTTGAATTAAAAAATATATACAATTTTTGATAAAATATAAGGCATTTATATTTTTTGCCTTTGGATATCTCTTTTTTTTTAATGCTTCAACTTTGTCACTGTCAGATCAGAATACTTAATTAAAAAAGATTTTACGAATTTGTCATAGGAATAAAAGCATCAGATTTTTGTGGCAGCAGTTTATCACTAAGGTTGTCAAGGTTATCATATGTAAAGAAAATGTATTCTTAAAATAAATTTAATTTAATATGTTAATAGATTTGTGAGATTTTTGATACCCAATTAATAAAAACCAAAGGAAAAGCAAGCAATTATTCTATATATTAAAGCTAATTTGTTGGTTATTAGATAAAGTAACACACTAGAAATTATAGGCGAAGGATTGCTTTAAAAAACCTATTTTCATGAAGTCACATCAAAAGCTTATAAATTTCCAGTTTTTAATAATTAAACCCCATAGTTTATGCAACATAGATGCATTTCAAATTTCTTTTTCTAAGGTTAAAGCCATACCAGTACGTTCTAGCATATGAGATATTGAGCCTTTTGTTTTCAGTAGTTTTGAAATTTAGAATATATACATCCATTATTTTAAAATATTAATATTCGTAATTAATACAACCTGAAAGTAAGTGATGAAAATTTTAATGGGCAAATGCTGGAAATATTCAAATTTTTGCATGTAATATTTTACACTGGTCTATTTTTGTCTTGCTATCTTTTAAAAATGTGGTAGAAGGCTCAGTATGGCCTTAACCTAAGTTCAGATTAACTTTTATAATAATAAATTTCAAAGTTTAAAAGAAATCTTTATCAAAATATTTTTTCGTTGGGATGGTTTGATATATTGAAACAGACCATTGCAACAGAAATACATTGACAAGGTGTGGATTCCCCAAGAAGCATATCCGACTGTCAACTTTGTGGGATTGATCATAGGTCCCCGAGGAAACACCCTCAAACAACTTGAAAAAGAAGTAAAGCATTTATTAAATATTTAAGTTATTATTTTAAAATTGTTACAAAAATATCTACACATGAAATGTATGTACCATTAAAATTTTCTATTGGGGTTTTTTGCTTGGTCTGATTTATAATTATTTTACATGGCTTGTTAATATTTAATACAGGTTATCCACCTCAGTTCAAATAAATTTATAATGAAAGAACGTATATATTTATCTAATATCAGCTATAACTACCTTGGTCTGAGTAAATATATTTTGAACACTTTGTCATAGACCACAGGTTGGGATACCTTGACTTCTAGTATATACTATAAAAACTTTTTAAAAGATAATATTGGTCTGCTTAATTAATAGTTATCAGTATGACATAAAAATACGAATCATTTTAATAATATTATTTTATCTTAAAAAAATGTTTGTGAATTTGTTTAGGTGAGTTATAGTTTCAGTAATATTAGTTAGGATATTTTTGAAAAATAAATTTGGTTTGCACAAATTTTTTTTTATAAGATGCAATTGCAAACCAAAAAGTTGTAAAATTAAAAAATAATAAAAGATTTGAAATTTTTGCTATCTTTCTAAGTTTTGACTATTTTATTTTTGTCTCATGTTGGTTGATATCTTTGAAAGGCTCGTTTTTTAAAAAAGGTCCCCTAATATTAAATTTTGTTTGTTATTAAAAGACTGGAGCCAAGATAATAATTCGTGGAAAAGGTTCAATGAAAGAGGGGAAAATTGGACGGCCTGATGGACAGCCCCTTCCTGGAGCTGACGAACCACTTCATGCTTACATAACTGCAACTACCGAAGACTGTCTGAAAAAGGCTATGGATTTGGTTAGTAACTTTATCATTTTTTATATATTACCTAAGAGATTCCGCCTAACGGAGAGTATAGAATAAAAAAATCATGAGTTCTACTTTGACAATTGCCTATTTCCAAATACACTTGATTTTAAATTTTTAATTCAAACGATTCTTTATTGATAATGATTATTAAATTTATTAATTCAATTGAACTATTGTTACCTATTTTGTATGAATAATTTTCTTATTCAAAAATGATATGAAGGTGACTAAAATTCTTAAGGAAGCTGTTACCGTTCCTGAGACTGAGAATGAACTCCGTAAGAACCAGCTCAAACAACTGGCCTTACTTAATGGAACTCTCCGTGGCGAGGGTGCTGGTTCCCTATCTGCCTTGGCGGCAGGCTCAGCTTCAGTTATGGCCTTGATTGGTGGAGCAGGCGGCGGAAACCGGTGTTCAAATTGTGGATCAGAAGATCACAAAACTTGGGCCTGTCCAGAAGGACTAAATTTGACTGCCAGCACTGTATGTGGGTTGTGTGGTGGGATTGGTCATTTGACTATCGATTGCAAGATGGTTGGAGGAACTGGAGGGGAAGGAGGACTTGGGCCCGAGACTGCTCTCGATAGGGAGGTTAATACTATTTATTATTTTATTTCCTTATCTCCTGGCCCTTGATTTCGTTTATTGTCATGTCAATTCAAATGTGAATGAATATATTTAATGATGACATATTAATATATTATCATTTAGATTTCTTTATTATTTATGCCTTATAAAGTGTGTCTTGAATAAATAATAACCCTGTATTGCATGTACTATGTTAGAATAATTTTTTTTTTGGCAAACTAGATTTTTTATTTCTCTAGATACTATTGATAATCTCATGGCTCACTTTTTTAAAAAAAATTCTAAATTTCTTAGAAGATGAACGGTATGTGGATTTAAATACACATTATGCAATTAAGGATACAAATTTCAATTATTTCCACAATAATTTTTATTGTACTTTAAACTATAAATATATAAAATTTTATTTAAATACAACAAATATTAAAGGTTTAAACATTTTAATTTTCATGAAAATCTATAAAACAATTATTTGTGGGTGTAAAACATAAATATACACCACATTTTTTGCAAGATACTTTTGTTATAAATAAGCATCCTGGCATTTTACATCTACCCTTCTTATAATTATATTTTGGCCAATGAGCCGTGAGGTCTTTCCTAACCTCTTCAAGTGGTAAATATTGGGCTGGTCCTTTTTTACATTTTTCCCGATAACCAGTTTGAACTGATTTTCGTTTTGGTATATTGTTTGAAGTGCATTTGCCAAATTTGCAAAGGACTTTCGCCACTGAAATTTTGAAATTGTACAAACTTAATCGATCCTTGCATGCTATTGATATACTATTACAATCACGTTTATATAGCAACCTGAATTTATAAGTAACATGTCAAACATATGAAATAAAATTCTATGGTACCATTTTTTTTATTTCGTATGAATTCTATATAAGGAAAGTAAGGAATCCATGAGATCTACACTTCCCATTGATTTATTATATATTTCAACAATATTTGGACATTTTATCATGATTTTTTCCTTTTTTTCCTATCATATCTTTCACAGTCTATTGGAGTGCTTAATAAAGTCACAGCACGATCGTCGTGCCACTTTAGCTCCACCGGTTATTATTGTTTTTTTTTAAACAAAAAATCCTCGCCTTTTTTTAACTCCTTATTTGTTGGGAAGTTTATATTTGGAAGTCGATTACCTCTGACCGTGGCCGCGCAAAATATCCCTCTTTGAGCTAGTACGACTAGCAAATTTGGGGAACAAACAGGGTTGCCAGGTCAAAATTTTCAAATTGTGGGAGAAATTCGGTATTTTGTGGGAGTAATATAAAAATTGTGGAAGAAATATGAAAATTACTAAAAAAAAATTTTGGGATTTAGAATGTTATCCGCTTATTATTTTTTATAAATATAAAATCGAATCTATTTTCCAAAATAAAATAGGTAATTATTTTTCAAAATAAAATAGCCAACTATTTTTCAAAATAAAATAGCCAACTATTTTTCAAAATAAAATAGCCAACTATTTAAAATAAAATAGCCAACTATTTTTTAAAATAAAATAGCCAACTATTTTCAAAATAAAATAGCCAACTATTTAAAATAAAATAGCCAACTATTTTTCAAAATAAAATAGCCAACTATTTTTCAAAATAAAATAGCCAACTATTTTTCAAAATAAAATATCCAACTCTTTTTCAAAATAAAATACGCAACTATTTTTCAAAATAGGTAATTATAGTACGACACAAAATTTCTTAAATACTATCTTTATTATTAAAATAATATTGATTTATTATAATATATTAATTTTGTTTAAAAATAATAACCAACGATCTTTTTTAAATACAAAAGAATGTAAAGAAGATAAAATTTTATAAAAAAATTGTAATTTTACAATGTAAAAAAATATATTTTATGCTAATGTATAAATAAGATTTTATAAAAAAACAAACAATTTTAAATTTACAATGTAAAAAATAATTATAATCAGTGCGAGGAAGTTGTTCTACAGTATTTAGTTAATACAATGGGGGAAGGTAATATGATATTTTGAGGCATCTAAAATCTTCAAAGCATAAATCAGTACAGGGCAGTCTATCAACATCTATTGCAAAATAAAAATATTCTTCAAAAATAAGAAATAATACAGATGCAACTACAGTTGCGGAAATGGTAAATACCTATCATGCAGTACAACATTCAGAGAGCTACTTAACATCACAATGTTGGTAGAATCTTTCCCCATAATATTTAACGACTAATATAAATGAAAAGTATACTTTGTAGAACACAAATGAGCAAGGCTATCATCAATGTTTTAGGATATAAATCCAGAAGGTCAATTCTTGACTTGAAAGATGTGCAAACATATGCAATTCTAACAGATGCATCTAATAAGGAGATATCAAAACATTTGCCTTGATCCTCCCCTATTTCAACAAAATTAATGTCATTTCAATAAAACTATCAAAAAATTTTCTCCAGATATGAAATATCCAAAGACATAGCTAACCATATATAATGGTAAATATGACAGATTTGGCATTACCAATGAATTGCATGACAGCTTTCTGATCTGATAATTCCTCAGTGAATTTGGCAAAAACCAGAGTGTATTTACAGAATTGAGTCAGCAAAATGTTGGTTGACAGGTTCCTCCTAATACGCGCCATCGTAGAATTTTAAAATTTTACAAACCTTTAAAAAATAAATAGATTATAAAAGCTGTCCTAATATTTTGAAAAAAATTTTCAAAAATAAATGGCAGAAGTATATTTAGGAATTTTACATATAGGAAATCTACTATATGCTGTTAATATGCAGTTGCAATCAGAAGAATATAATTTAATAAAGGTTCACTAAATTATTCTGCAGAAATGCCAAAGTAAGAATATTATTACTATTATCGGATAATTATTAATAAGATTTAATATGATGTCATGTTTGAGGAGATTGTAATGCTTCTTTATTTTTATGATTTGCCAAAATATTCAAAATATTAATTTTACAATGAAAAAAATAAATTTATTTGATTTTATGCAAATGTATAAATAAGATTTTATAAAATATAGAAAGTCAAATAGTTATAGTTAATTATATTTTATTTGAGATTTAAATAACGGAAATAAACGTTTACCGTCGATATTAAGATATTTATAAAATTCCTGGCATGACATTTTATAATTTTGTTTAACCATTAACTCGGCCTCTAATGTTGTTAAAGCAATTCAATTTCTTTCCTTTCTTCAGGCAGTCCTCATCAGGCTAAAAATGCGCTTCGATGAGGCATTAGAATGAGGTAAGGAGAAAACATACTCGCAAATTTTTTCCAAGCATGGGGATTTATCGTTATTACGAAAAAATTCCACCCATTTCTCCTCTGCTTTTAGATCATCCAGCATCTACATGAGCGGGAGGGGTAGGAACAGTTTGCATCCTATTTTTTTGAGAGGGGTAGGGGATAGGCTGCTTTAATGGGGGTAGGAGAAATTTTTTGGGGGGTTATCTATTAAATTTTGAGATGAAATAGGACAAAATTTATTGCTATAAAAATTAATACTTTTATTATAGAATTATTATAATACAATTCATCGACCAAATCTATATATTGCAAACAATCATACACATTGTTTTCCAAATAAAACTTTCTGCTATCCTTTTAAATGTAATTTAAAAGGTTTAGATATTTCAGCAAGCTCATAATGCTATAATAATTAATTCATTGTAAATAATGGAGGTTTTAATTGAATTTATTATCTAAAAAATAAATTCTGTATATACACAAAATATCGATAGTTGGTAATAGAGATAGATTAATTTAAGTTATCCTAGATAAATTCTCTGAAAAGAGTATCAATGAATTAAAAAGGTGAAAATAATAATAGACAGACACAGCCGCTGAAGGCGACAAAATTTTTTAGGGGGTAGGCAAAGGTTTTTGAAGGGGGTGAAAATCCTGTCATGTAGACGCTGAGACCATCTAACTTTAAGTATTCTGGCGAATCATAAAAAATGGGAAAAATTACAATCTCTTCAAACAAGGCTTCAATGTCTATCGGTAATTTTAATATATTATTAAATTACAAAAACCATCAAATGATGGTTTCTGTTCCAAGGTCATAATATTTATACACTTGTAAATAGAGTTATTAAAATCAAATCTTGATTGTAAATATTCCAAAATTGTCTTAATAAAAATATTTGCTTCATTTAAAAATACGTTAATTATAGTAATATTTGAACATTTTAATATGATATTTTTAGCAATAGCGCCATAAAATTTATTATCTATTTTTAACTGTAGGATGAACAGAGCTGTAGCATGATTTTGTGAATCTTTATCAATAAAGAATCTTCTGATTGCAACTGAATATTAACTACATGAAATAGATTTCCTACATGTGAAACTAATCCCAAATATGCTTCTGACATTTCATCCTCGAAAAATTTTTCAAAATTTTAGGACAGCTTTTAAAATCTTTATTTAAGAAGTATTTCTTTAAGGGTTCGTTTAATTTTAAAATTCTCTCGATGGCAGGTATTAATGATAACCACCTGATAGGTACATATCGCAACAACTCACACCATTCCAAATCAGACCACTCCACCAATTCTTTTAATTCAGTGACTCTTTTAGTTGATGAACTAAATTCGTTAAAACATTTCATCACAATTACTTCGACATCTACAGATAGTACATTCATTGCCTTCTTGCAAGAATTATGCAGTATATGGCATATACAGCCAATTGGTATTAATTCATTATTGTGCTGCCTCAATTCGGTAAATACACTTTGATTTTTGCCAAAATTAACAGAGGCATTATCAGCGCAGAAAGCTGACATGCAACTCATTGATAACCCTGAATCAGCTATATTTACCATTATGTGGTTAGCTATATCGTTGGATTTTTCACTATCGGATGAAAAAAATTTCAATAGTTATATAGAAATGCCCTTATTCTTGATAAAATAGCGAAGAATTAGGGGAAATGTTTTAATATTTCCCTTATTTGATGCATCTATTAAAATAACATATGGATGTCCTTCTTTCAAATCGTCTAGAATTGACCTCTTGGATTCAGGTCCTAACACATTTGTGATAGCCTTGCTCATTTTTGTCCTACCACAAGTAAAGTTAGCACTTATTTTGGAGTCGTTAAATATTATGGGGAAAAGATTCGACCCACATTGTGATGAAAAATAGCTCTGTGAATGTTGAACTACATGATAGATGTATACGATTATTTATTATTTTTGAGAATATTTTTGTATTGCAATCGATGTTAATATAATTCCCTGTACTGACTTATATGTATGAATGAAATGGTGTTGATTTATTATTGAATAAAAATAAAACAGGATAGAAAGAAATTTACAACTAGACATGTTTTTCGAATAAATATTTAAAATTTATTTTAAAAATATAAAAATAATCAAATACTGTCTCTCAAAATTATTATTTATATATTAAAAACATTAAAATGCTAAAAAAAAATTGTGGGAGAAATTAAAAAATTGTGGGAGCTTTTTGTGGGAGATTTCTAATTGTGGGAGTTTTGTGGGAGTGAGATGTATGTGGGTAAACTAAAAAATTGTGGGAGACTCCCACTGATGGGAGGAGACATGGCAACCCTGGGAACAAAACCAGTTATCAAAAAATAATTTATAATTAATTTGCTGCGGTATATAAGAAATTAAACGGAGCACAGCATTGCCACTTGCTCCAACATAGGCAATCCTTCCGCTGCTAGTATTTTCCCAGAATATATTTCAAAATTATACAGAAGGCCATCATCTCCGCATAGTAGAAATACTTTATAGCCCCATTTTTTGGGCTTTTGAGGGTTATATTGTTTCAACCTGCTATACCTTTGTATGGAATAATTTGCTCATCTACGCAAATGTTTTCGTTTATTGATAAAGATTTTAGTATGTTATTGGTTAGAGTTATTAGGGGTCTAATTTTATGTAGTGGGTCATGGCCTTCACTTCCAAGTGGAATTCCAAACTATTTTTCTCCTAGTGTTTTCTTTTTCATTATTGATATTTTCTTTTTCTTCCGAATCATCTGTCTCATTGAAATCTATATATTTATAGATTATATAAGAGCATAAATTTTAAAAAATATACCTAAATCATTATTTTGTGTTGATAGAAACTCCTCATCAGACGTTTCACTTAAATTTGAATCTTCATCATTAGGTATGTCACCACAATTCATAATTCTAAAAATATAAAACTCAAATAAAATACCTTATTTGCATAATGTGTCTCTAAAACCACGTATGATTATTACAAAATATAATTATCAAAAATAATAAATATATATAAAATAATTTCATAAACATTTATTTTTACCTTTTATTCATCTAATTTTAATGTTTTGAAATTTGTCAAATATATTTTTTTTCCTTTTCCGATGGGTAGAAAATTGAGAAGAAAAATTTTATAAAAAAATAGCCATTTTTAAAAATAGGGTTTATTAAAATGCGAAATTAAAAATAAATAATAGATCACGTGGCCCAAATTAAAATTTCAATCGAAGATATAGAATATGGCTTCAAATACACACCATGCAATTGATTTAAAATTTATTTATAAGATATTTATTATACAATTTGTAGTAGATGGAATGAGATACACAGTATGCAATACAGGGATAAAATAGTTAGTATGGGAAAAGGTATCAAGTTTGGATATATTTACACATACCCCCTAATTAAGTATAGTTAAACGGCTCGATTTGAGCCGATTTTTATAAACGGCTAACTTAATGTTTTAGCGAGAAAAATATTGCCTAAGCCTAGAGATTCTGCTCATAGATGTCCAAACCTTTGTGTCATTTATAAGCAAAATCTTCAGGCTTACGTAAAATTTTTCTGGTAAAAATATTGAGTTAGCCTTTTTTAAAAATCGACTTAAATCGAAATTTTTTAATATCAAATTTTAATTAATTCTTAAATTTTTGGTCCTCAATCTCATTTACTCAATAGTATATGTCGCTGATGGCCGAGCTGGGTCAAAACTCTGTCCTAGATCAGCCCCTATCAGCTGGGACTGCTAAACTCAACCAGTTGAATCAGATAATAGCTGCCCAACAAGCATCTGCACCTCGTAAATTAGAAAGTATAGCCCCTCTCGTCAAAAGAGTGCTCGATTCAAAATGCTCTAGATCTAACATGATTCCAAACCCATCACCCCTCGGTCCTTGTTATTCAACCAACCCCATGTACAGTGGCGGAACTAACAATCCTCCTTACCCAGTAAGTTATACTCTACATAAAAATTTTCTTAAATTTCGGCTTTTTAAATAAAATAATTTTAGATATAAACCTGTAAAACTGATTTACCTTAAATCGATTTATTGACAATTTACTATTATTAATTTTAATAATAATTTATTTTTAAAAATATAATATCACCTTTATCAATAGTCGTCTCTTTTCACTGGTTTTTCGCCATACCCTGGTATGGGGCTACCTATGGCACCTCCACTTATGAATCCATTTCCCATGAACCCTATGATGTAATACATATCTAAATTTTATTTTATAGAAATGTTGTAAAAATAATTATGATAAGGCATGAAATTAAATTTATAAATATAAATGAGATTTTAATTAGTATTAATATTATATTATATAAATTAAGCCAAATTTTAAATAATTATCTCACAGAATCCTTGCCAGACTTATATGAATTAGATAAAAATAATCATTTACAAATTAATTGTTTAACTATTTTATTGATTTATATTAGGGCTCATAATACAGATCAATCAACATCTGATTCTCAAAATTCAAACTACAATTCTTATATGTTTGGAATGTCTAATTCGCAAATCAGTTAAATTAATTAATATTATCTTATAATTTATTTTAATAATTTGCCAGAATTTTTTTTAAAATATAAAAAAACAAAGCATAAGAAATAAAATATGTTTGATCCTAATAATTATAATGCTATAATCGAACTCCCCACCATACCCCTATGGTAGGTTTACCAAATTGGTTAAGTAATCCATAACGTTTATTTGAAATTTATATAGAGATTAGAGCTCCATATGGTTTTTTTGTTGAAAACCCCCTTAAGTATTAACTCTTCATTTATATATAGTTACTTGCATATACCAAGGGGATGTAAAAAAAACTATTTTTCAAACAAATAAAAAATATAATAAACAATAAATTAGCGAAAAATGATTATTATATTGAAAAAGTTTCAATTAGATATTGGTAGATTATGTTTTCCATAAAGATTATAGTAGATTAAAAATTTAGGGCTGTGCTGATTCATATATTTTTTATCGATCCGATCCGATATTTATATTAATTTTTCACCATCCCCCATTGAACCAAATATAATTAAGAAATCAATATTTTTTATGCAAAAAATCGAATTATGCATTTAATTTAATTTTCTACAATAATTAAAAAAGTTTACAAATATTGGTAGTATTAAATGATTTTTCATTATTCCTCCCCATGAAATTAGAATTCCGCAGATAACGCATTTTGCAAAATTATCTCTGTCTTTTGTAAAATATTTCCATAATTCAAATACCATGTTTAAAAATATTTAAAAAAACTTTGGTTGTTCCTTTCTATTTTTATAAAAAACTTTTAAAATACTATAAATCTATTTAAAAAAATAAATAAAATTTAAGGGGTGATGGTGATTTGCATTGCTTAAAAAAATTATTTGGAAATATTATTAATGTAAAATAAATGTACATAAAATAACAAAAAAAAGAAAAGTAAAAAGATCAGATCGGATAGGTTTTTACAAGTATTGGCCCGATCCGATATTTTTGGAAAACGCAAAATATCGGTGCCGATCCGATATTTAATATCGGTGCCGATCCGATATTTAATATCGGCACAGCCCTAAAAAAATTAAAAACAATATTTATTTTTCCTAAGAAAACGGATTTTATGTGCAGCATTAGTATAATCTAATAATTATGACCCTGATTTTTTTTTCTAAATTAAATATAATTCCTATAGTTTTATTCATTTTCTTTTTTCTAAGACCAATTTAAACATTTTTTGAGTTTTTTAAACGTAATCATTTAAATGAGCCATATTTTATATCTTTTTAAGTCTAATTTGTACATTAAAATATAATATCCATGAGTTATCAACTATTGTTTTATCTAGCAGTCCCTTAATTTTTTACAAATATTTGTTCCTAACATGACAAACATTTTATGCTATTTTATGGGCAGAATTTATGCCAAATAAACTTGTAATTTACATCGATGGAAATTTTATAATTGAAATAAAAACTATTAAATAAAAATTTATTCTTTAATTGGTAATAACATTATTTGTCAATTTAGCTTCTGCGCCTACTGTCAGTGATCCAAATTCCAACTTTCATATGAATCCTCCTTGGCTAGGAGGTAATTAATTCATGATTATTTAAATTTAAGTATTGTTTAACGGCTCGATTTTTACAAACAGCTAACCCAATATTTTAGGCAAAAAATATTATGCAAGCCTCTAGATTTTGTTAAAAGATGCTGAAACATATCTCCCATCTATTATCAAAATCTCCAGGTTTGTATAAATTATTTAAGTCAGAAATTTTATCTTATCACCGAGAATTTATAATTTTTACAGTTATTTAAAATTTATCAACATTATTGATAATTGATATATATGAACCATATTTTTAAAAATTTTAGCAGCAGTTCGGGTTTAGGAATTTTAAACTATTTAGTGGAAGAACTTATTGGTCTGAGGTTTTAAAATGCCCAACCAAACATCTTAAATTTCTGAACCTGAATTCGGTTCGGAATCCTGGGTTTTAATACATAATTTTACATCTCACATGTATTATCAAGATAACTCGATGCAAAGCAACAATGACTACAATTTTTCAAACCAATACAACAACAATAATGCGTGCAATTACGCTCCAGGCCCCGATAGTGACGAAGATAATGAGCTGCCCCCACAACCCATTTTGCCTCCACCACCTCCTCCCTCTCTCACTGGTTTTAGCCTTGACCCTCTCCCTCCTCCTCCCGCCCCTCCTCATGACCTCGATGATTGTGATGATTAATTTAAAAAAAATTTTTTACAAAATTTATGAAGGATTATATAATTAATGTCATTATAAGGGTTTAGCTTTATATCAATTTTAAATAAACTTTCATGTTTAACTTTGTGTCTTTTATATGACTTAATATATGTGTGTACGATTAAAGACTTACCTATCCTTGTAATGTTAGCTAATTTTATAATTAATATATTTTATTACACAAATTCATATATTAATATAAAAATGCGAATATAAATAAATTTTTTGTCTCTATTTTAAAATTTGTTTTTGGGCTAATATTTTACCTTATATATTAATTTATTTACCTCTATACCTACATAATTATAAAAATTTCTGTTCACGATTCATTAATATAATAAAGTAAATTAATATCGTGTTTTATTTATAACTTTAATCATCATTTAGAAAGGCTAATTTATAGATTGAAAGTTTGTATTGCTTTTAAAAAAAACATTTTTAAAAATGAAATTTGCTACAAATATGAGAATATTTAGCATTTCTTAAAAACTATTTATATTTATTTATTAGAGAATTTAGATGTAATTTTCTGGTTAATAAGGAAAAAAGTAATATTAAAAATCGCGATTTAAATAATTTTTACAGAATTTGGACTATACTTGAAAGCAGGCGAACCCGAATTCGGAGAAGAAAACCCAGGATTTTGTAAAAATCTGAACCCGAACCCCGTTTATAAAATTTTCAAACGCTGAACCTAACCCACAATTTTATTTTAACCCGTGTTCAGTATATTGTTTAAAATCATATATTAAGATATTTGTATAATTGTAAATAAAAATTTTAATAATTTAATTGAGATTTTATAATATTTTCTAATTTCCAATTAAGTGAACTTTTAATAAATTTTAAACAATTAAATTCATTTATTTTTATTTTTAACTTATTCTCAAAGATTTATTAATTTGAGGCAGAGGTTAACGCTCCTTTTTAAAAGTAACTAGCTCCCTTCTCAAAAGGAGCTAGCTCCAGCTCCTGCTACTACATTTTTAAAAGGAGCTAGCTCCCGCTCCAAGTAATGGAGTGCCACTCCATAACTTCTCCTTTGATTCTCATTTTTTTAGAAAGTACACGTTTTATCAAAAAGTTTTATTTATTTTAAATGATCTATCAAAATATATATTAGCCTTTAAAAGTAATAAATTTTCTAAATTAGAATCTAACAAACATCCACGCCTTTCCCCTAAGACCTGTTTTGCAATACTAAATAAGCGCTCCACAGGAGCACTAGAGGGAAGCCGTGTATTGTATTTTATTAAGATATTTTTCGATTCAGGTATAAAAAAGGAGGTTGAACAAGTAATGAGAAAATTAAAATACATTTTAAAAGGCATCATATCTAACAACCCAAGCTCAACTATAATGAATTGCCCATAATTATAACCATTTAAAAAAAAAATTATTCCAAAATAAAATAAAATATAGCTATCGTAAAGAAAGATTTTTTATGTTTAGATGCTTTTTTAGATTGGAGCTGCTCACTTTTGGAAATGAAATACAAAAGGCATTTTGCCCTTAAATTTGTTTGATCATTTGGATCAACATCTTTTAGAAGTTTAAAATATTTCTTGTATGATAGAAATGGAAATTCTTCTATGATCTCTAAATCCATAATATCAAAAACTATTTTTTATTATATATCTATAAAATGAATAGTAATATGACTTACAAAATTTTCAATATAAAAATAAAAAACTTGATGTTTAACATTTAATATAGAAGAAAAACCAATATAAAACTCGGCTCAACATTTAATAATGGATAAATTTAAATAAAATAAAATTTCATTTTTATCAAATTTTAATTAACAAATATTAATATTTGAAAAATAATTTAATTTATACCATAAATTTAAAGGAGCGGTGGATCGGCGCTCCTCCACTCCAGCCCTAAAAGGAGCTAGCTCCCGCTCATTTTTAAAAAGGAGGGCGCTCCAGGTGTTTTTGGAAAAATGTAGCGGCACTCCAGGAGCGCCGCTCCTGTAGCTCCTCCGCTCCTTAACAACTCTGATTAGAGGAAAATGAAAGTGAACAAGTCAAAGTAAAAATTATTATATTGAATATTGTTAATTTAAAAATTTCTCAAAATCTAACTTAAAAATTCTTATAAAAGATGTAGGGCAGTTTTTGTAAACTTATGTTTTTAACTATTATTTGCCTCTAAATAAAATAAAAAATTTATTTTTTATACCAAATTTATATCTAGTTTTTTAATTATGATTTAAATATAGAATTTTTTTTATCAATTCAGAAATTCTTAAACCTGAGCTGAACCCGGATTAAAAAATATTTCCCCGAACCGAACTCAGCTATTTTTTACCTTAAACCAAACCCAGGTAAAAATTTTGCCAGATTTGCATCCTTGCCTGAAAGTAAAAGATCGGGGTTTGGGTGGGGCGTATTTTTAAAAATGGAACTGTAGACCACAATGTAATGCCGAAAAGATTATATCATCTGCCCCCTTATATAGTTTTCCTTATTAAGTTATTACTTTGGAAAATTATTTTCATAAGAATTTGAAGTTGGGTGGTGGTTAAGCAATCTCTAGCTAATAATGATAAACATTAGAACCCCTAATATAATTTAAGTGTAAAATATACACTCGATTAAGCCCATTTCAAATATACCACTATTTTTAATGTTTATAATGCAACCGCTCTATACATTTCTATGATAAATAAAACTGCCATAACTCAAGGTCTCTTCCGTTTTACCCCAGCGAAGTGAAAAAATATATAATTTGACATTGATAAAGAGGCTATCTCCTAAACTATAAGTTATTAAACTAAATATCTTGTTTTGAAGCTAATGAATGGCAATTATATTTTTAATTGGAAAATAGTAATAACATTTTTATTGTAAAAGGGCAAAACAATTATCGTTTGACTCCAGTCTCCCCCTCTTTAGTTTTTTTTGTTCAGAAGATTGTCTATATTATTTGACACCCAAAAGTTTGTTTGTGCATGGGTCATATTAAGCATGAACAATGTTTTATGCTTATACTGAGGTTTTATAATATAATATATAACAATTTTGATACAAAGACTGTTGCAATATTTTAATACATAATATAATATAATATTTTTAAATATCACGTTAAAGAGAAATTGTTTTGAACTGAAAAAGTTGCCTCTAATAAGGTTAGGCAGTAGTTTATTTTTTAAGATGTAAAGATTTTAGTTATTATTTTTATGTCTAGTTGCCTTCAAATCCTTTTCCCTCACGAAGACGCTAACTACTGCTACATATCTTGAATTTCACAGCAATTTTATATATTTTTTTAATAACGATAAATGGTTACTCATACAAGTGTTATTATAAAAAATATTTATTTTATACTAACCAATATCACCCAAGATTCTTGATATTGTAGCAGTAAATCAGGCAAGTATATTTATGTATTTAATCTTCCCTCTCTCTCCCTCTGTAAAATCAATGGCGTCGCTAGATTTTTAACTTGAGTAGTCAGACTTTAAAAATTAGGTATAAAAATGTATTTCATGTAATATTTGCATAGTTGTTAAATTATCTAGATATAAAAATGTCGTATCGGTAGGTAGATACACATAAAAAGTATCGATATCTAGATACTATTTTAAAGGTATTTATCTTCAAATACTTTATAAAGATACATTTTGATATACTTTTATTTAATGCCTTTTTATCTCAAAAATAAAAATATTTGAATGGAAATTTCATAATACTGCATGGCAAATCAACTTAAATACACAATTTTCAACCCGACCCCTCAGAAAAATTGATTATCTTAAAAAGTAATGATTTGATTTAATCTATTTTAAATACTCTTTAAAAATATTAGTCTCCTTTGCTATGAATGGGCGAAAACTAATATTAAAATGCCTGATAATTGGTTATTATAATTAGCTCGTCATTAAATATTTTATTAATTATTGTAAATATTCACATTATGCATATGTTATGTTCTTCACTCATATAATAAAAATTGTATTTTATAAACTATTCTAATTGATAATGATAAATTTATAAAAGTATCTTGTTTTTAAGATACAAGTATCTTGTATCTTTTTGATATTTTGAATAAGATACTAGTATCTGTATCTAAGATCATTTTTATTATAAAGAATCTGTATCAGGACCTGCCCAACTGATTTATTGAAAATATTCTTAATAAATATGATCTGGGAAATTATTTTTGTTGGGGAAGGGGGGGGGGTTAATTAATATATATGATGAGTTGAATTCTCTTCATCAATATAACTAAAAAATACAAAACAATTTTTGATTATAATTTATTTTCTATATATTGTAACTACAATAATATTCACTATGAAAATAATTTTATTTTAATTTAATTTTCCCTAAGTGGCATAAAAACATGAAACTTTTGTATTCCTAAAATGGATTTGACCAGATATTTTTTCATATTCATCTTATACATACATATATATATATATACGTAATTAATTACAGCGATATTTGCTTTATAAAAATTAAATGAATCTAAGGTGTTTGATATTTAACTCTCATATATACGCTGAAGGCACTCTCTGCTAACCTTTTGGTAATGTTTGCCATGGGTTATTACGAAAATTGTCATTCCGTTTTGATTCCAAATTCAAGTTCATGATGGCTTCGATTATGAATTTTATTCATATTGATTACTACACCATCAGAAAAAAACAATTTTGATAAATTTTGATTTCAAGAAAACCAATTATTTTAATTTAGAAATGGTCTTAAATCAATTTATTAAAGTTCACTTTTATATCAATATGAGTTTCTAATTAGAATACAATTCCTTATGATAACATAAAATTGTATTCTCTTCAATTGGTTCTCTTTTTAACCTTATAACGGTTTTTGTCAGGCATCATGCGACTCTTTTAATCGAAAATAAATTTTCGAATAACATCTATAAAATAGTTGAAAAACACTTCCAGCCTTTATAATTTTCATTGGATAAAACACCATTTTTTTTTATCAATTCTTTTGCTATTCTTGCCAGGATTAAGTCGTAGAAAATTCTTCATGTTAGATCCAAGTTGCTTAATCATTTAAAATTCATCGTTAATATATTAAAATCATCTTTATTTTTTCATTTTTTATGTCATATAATGCAAATTATATCGTTAATGCCTTATTCTGGTTAATCAACCAAGGAAGTATATTTTTTAGGCCATCACTACATATATGTTTATCCAAAATTGTGCTAATTTTACGAACGAAGTAAATATATTACATAGAGTAGCCCTCCACATTTAAATCAGAGACCTGCAGGCCCGGCCCTAAGTGTCCAAGAACACTGATCGTGTTCGTATTTTTTTTGAATATACACGGGTCAGGCCTAAATTTAAGCCATTCCGGGCTCAATTTTTTTAAAAAATACCCGGGCCGGGGCGAATATTTTAATTCGCCATTTATAAAAATTAAAAATAATATATTCTAAACTAATCAAGGCTCGGGTTTGAAAATATAAAACCCGGGTTGGGCCAAAAAATTTTAGAAAAAATTTGAAAAAAAATTCGGCTCGAGTTATTTAAATGGTACTTCTGCAGGTCTCTGATTTAAATATATAAAATTTCGATATATTAACTATACTAATTAAACTGAGGGGCAGTGTGGGAATATGCCCATTAAACACTTAATAATGTAACAAATTTCCAATAATAAATATCTTTAATATAATTTTTTTATTATTCATTTTTATTAATAATATAGAAATATAGATAGATAATCATAATCATTCCATATTTAAAATATATTTGAAACAAAATTTAGTTAGATATAAATAAAAATTATTATATATTTTAAGAAAATTAATTAAAAGTTTTAATTGTCTCATCCTTTTATGTAAAGTGTATTTTCGTCCGGTAGCAGTTGAAGGACTGACTACATCTAAAATTTGTGTTTTATGTATCCACAATTTATTAATCAAGGAGGGATATGTATGAGAATTTGAAGGTCTTTGAGGATGCAAAAAACTAACTAATACCACTTTTTTGATTTTTTTATCTAAAACATAAGCCATCCACCATTGATTGTCTTAGATACATGTTGTATCCTTTAATTTTTTCATATAGTATATTCGTATTAATATTCGGGTGAAATGTTATATTTATTATTTGCGATTCTGTTGAGTTTGAATAAAATTAATTTTACCCTGAGAGATTGGATGAAAAGTATGAAATTTTTGCTTTCTTAGTTTTGTACGTGCATTGAATCTCTCTTCCAAAATTATTTGCTCTTTCTCATATTCATCTTCCATAATATAGGAGAAATCTATTCCTCAATTAAAAAAATTATAATATGCATTAATAAATTATAAATCTTATACCTTTAATATTTTCCTTAAAATAGGTAAAAAATTCTTTAGGACAAGTTATTTGTTCTGAAACAGGTCTTTGTAAACTAGCCCTGGCCACTAAACGTTTGACTGTCCGACCCTGTCACAAGCTGATTTGCCATGAGATATTGCCCTAAAATGCCACTCAGCTTTTATCCCGAAATCATTTTCATGTTGGCAAAGATTGATTAAATTTTCTACGATTTTTATATTGTTGTTGCTCTATCTAAAAATTGGAAGAATTTTTTTGGTCGGCATTAAAATTTCTCTGTTAATTAGCGAACTAAATATTTTTGGAATGAATGAACGGCAAGTGTATTATGAACGAGAGATTCAGATATTATTACGAAGCTTAAATGATTTAAATTATTAAATAACTTGTAATAAATCACAAAGGATGAATGGCAACTTGAGATTTATTCCAATGAAACCCCCGTACTTCATTTTGAAGGCATAACTTTCAGCAAAATCTGCCTGAACGATATATTCTCCTTCATTTAAATTCATTTTAAGAGAATTCATGAATATTGCTTGCTCCTTTGTTATGAATGAGTGTAATAGTAAAATATTTCGCTTTTTGAAAAGTGTTTTTAAAAAAGTGGAGGTTGATGAAGTGATAGTTAAAAGATATGTACGATCTCTAGTTACCCACTGCTTGCAGGTAATATATTCGATATAACTTTAATATAATATTTCACTTATCATGGCCTTTAAATTAGAAGATCCAGGGAATTGAGCACAGTCATCAAAAAAGCGTTTTGGTATTGCTGGATTACAAATTATTTTTGGCAATATATCGTTATATGTAATCTTAATTATATTTTCATTTAAAGTAATTTTGAGCAAACTCATCAGAATTCTGTGTTTTGATTGGAGCAAACACATATTGAATGGGTATCACTGCTGCCAACAAATACACAATTCTCGGGACGAAGATCACAAAATTTAGATAATCCAATTTTGATATTTGATGAATATCTTTGAATTTAAGATATAGCTCTCGTAAATTGATTATAAATAATCTTTTTTGGATTTAAATCTTTTCACCATTTTATAGAAACAAAATCCCTTTTCTCATGCTTTAAAAAGTTTTGACAATAGCAACGGTGACGGCATCTAGTTGTACATTATCGAGCTAATAAGTAATTCGCTATAGTAGCAAAGTAGAGGTTTAAAAAAAATGTAAAAATTCTTAAAGGGGGGGGGGAGGCAGAACTGGGAAATTTTATCATATTATAAACGTATCAATATTTTCATTTTCCTTAAGAATAATAATATTTTTCAACCATTAGTGCTATATGTTTTTTTCAATTTTAATTAAAATGTATATTTCGGAAGAGTCATTAGCGTCGACAAGGTTTTGAGATCGTAAATATATTTATAAAAGGTCTAAATAAAAAGCAAAAAATAATTTTGAAAACGAACTCCCTTTTTTGCTTAAAAATACAGATAAAGCAATTTAGGTAAACCGGAAGTTAAAGACTCAAATTAGCGCCAATTTTTATTGTTTTCTGATGGCCCTTTAGAGATTTCTTTTGCCTACAATATGATTTATTCTATATTTTTTACTATAAATAGTTTTAGAGATATAAGCATTTTAAAAATTTTACAGATTCCAAAATGGCTCTTTTTTGCACATATGAGTCCCTATATCTCGGGAATCAGGTGTGTTAGCGAGCTAAAATAAATGGTTTTCTTATTTACCTATCTAAATAATTCCAGATATTTTTAACAATTTAAAAGGGGTCGGCCGAAAATGTGCCTTTTTTGGTCAATTTGACATGGAATGACCCGAAATCATTTGAAAAATGGGCGGGGCATCTATGCCCCCAGCGAACAGCATCAGCGACCAAGGGTAAAAAATACAAGCTTTGGGGATTTGAGATAAGGAGAGCGTATTCTTCCTTTAAAGTTCTTAACTTTGGTAAGTATTTTTGAGTTACAAACTCAATTTATTTAGTTATAGGAATCTCCCCTCCATAATTTCTCTGTTCTCGTAAATATCATTTTAAGCTATTAATAATTTCCCTCCTGTCCCCCCCCCCCCAATATTTTAAATATCACTACAAAGAAGAATTTGAAAGAAAATTTAATACGACTATACAAAATTTTTTAAAAAAAGCATTTTTTTTAAAAAAAAAGTGAAAACTCAAAATTATTTTTATAAAAATATAATATAGCCAAGGCCTACAATTGGACCTTCCAATAAAATTTATGGAGGAAAAACTCGCCTAATAGTTCCCTCCTCCTTGAAAAATTTTACATCTACCTTCTACCCTCACCTACTCCCGTCCTATAAAATCAAAATTAGAAAAAAAAGAAGGAAATATAAATGGTTATTTGAAAAAAAAAAAATTAATTGATCGAGAATTTATCTTGATTCTTCACGAATTGATAATATGCTATGATGCTATTACACAACCGCTATTTCATTTAACATCTGTTTCAAATATATTTATATAATATTTTCTGTTTTTTTGTTGAAAAAAATAAATTTAATCGATTAGAATTATTATTTATAAATCAAAATTATTTTTATTTCACTCGATTTCATTTTTTAAAATAATATTCATTTTTTCCAGTTTATATTTTAAATGGTAATGATTATTAATTTAATTAACCTGTATTTAATTCTTATATTTCATAGACTGATCTTGGATTTAACAAACATCAAGTTGCAGGTAAATTTTAAAAAAAATTTAACTTTAAAAATCATATTTTTATTCCTTATTTTTTATAAATGAATCAAAATTTTTATTTTACAAAACTTAAATTTGGTCTCATCTCACAATAAAATTTGTCATGATATTTTTTTTTCAGTGATTTCTTTTACTTTATTATTATACAGATTATTTTAATATTTTTTAATTTAAAACGTTATTTATTTATTTGGCATTGTGTTCCTAATAAGGGAATCTTTGTTTATTTGGAAAATAAATAAATAAAAATTTTGAAAATTGAGAAAAATTCATGTTAATCTTGGCAAAATTTATTCTAACCCGATATTTTACAAATAATATTTTTATGAAATTTAAACTTAGAGATGAGAAAAAGATCGAATTTTCTTGAAGTAGTTACTTCAACTTAACTGGATATTATTTTTATTTTATTTATTGATTAAATAATTTACTAAATTTATTTGACACTTTCATTCAAAAGTAGAAAAATAAAAGGATAAAAAAAAGGAACCTGATAATAGTTACCAAAAGCGTGAACTGGAAGTAATTCAATTAGGGAAAGGGGGGGGATTTTGTAAAAAATGGTCTATGCAAATTAAAGTATATCAGAGACCTTCAAAGGTCAAATTTGGAGGCTAGGTTGAATCTAAAATAAATTGCACATTTTAAATCCCGGTCAAGATGTATTTTTTTTTGTTTATTTTGGCCCGAGTTAAATTTTTTCTTTTTTTAAAATTTGGACCGGATTATTTGGATTATTTTACGGATCAGCTGGGATATTTAAGATTTTAAATAAAGTAAATTTTATAAGGGATAACGAGCAGTGATTTTTCCAAACTAGTTACTAAATTTATATAATTTAAATTCCCCCGGATTTTTAGAATCGTGCCATTTTACGACTCCATCCAGGTAGTATAGAAAAGTAATTCAATAAAAAGGTAAAAACTTAAAAAAATTTTAGCATTTATTTATTCCGCCTAATCGTGATTTTATATCACTAATTAATTTTCAACATATGCAAGTAAAGTATTGATGTTTCAAAATCTCTCCATTTGAGCCGATTTTTAAAAACGGCTAAGAGTATTTTAGCCAGAAAAAATATTATATAAGCTTCGATAATTCCCTAATGGATGTCCAAACTTATATGCCATTTATGAGCGAACTCTTCAGGCTTGCGTAATATTTTTCTGGATAAAATTCGGACTTTTTTTAAATTGGTCCTAATGGATCGTTTTTTCATCACTATAGAGTATCCAAATAAATAAATAGCACTAGAATTGTATATTAGCTCTAAATTGTCCAGAATGCATTTTTATTTAGTTTTAAATCTTTTGTTCTAGGATTATTTCCCACCCAATTATCACTTTTATTTATGGTAAAAAGGCAGACATTTTAATAAAACAGCATATTATGGGAAACAAGAAACTAATTTAGAATGGTATAGCTATAGTACAAAACTTTTATTATATTAATATAGAGAAGGGGAGAATCCAAGAAACATTGATCGGGAGAGGGCGGAGCCTTTGGGCATATTGAAATGTGTTATAAAACTTTTTCGTATTGATATTTTGCTATGCATTTAACTTTTTTTAAAACACCTTTAAGTTTAATTTTTATAATTTTAAGTTTCAATAATTTTATATGGTTCCATCTCATTTTCTTTTTATCGGCCAACGATCTGAGAAGATGTTTATATTTAAAAAAAATCTTTATTATAACGTCATCTTTATAAAACTAAGGAATTTAATTTATTACTCATGTTTGTATAGCACTTAAACATTCCTAGGATAAACTTATTTTTCCCCCCTTTAAAAGCAATTTTGCCACCTTACATTTTACCACTCCTCCTTTCTTCACACTAATTATAAAAAAATATTTGATTATCCCAGTCATTTTTGCAATAATCAGAGGCTTGTAGGCCTAGGCTGAAACGGGCTGACAAATGGTATAATTAAATAGAACAGGTCCGTATAAAAAAAAGGATTAAGAATAAGGGCTGGGTACTGTTGTTAGATGGCTCGATTTTTAAAAACGGCTAACCCCATAATTGCCAATAAATATTACGCAAGTCTTGGGATTTTGTTTGTTTGTTTCTTTGTTTGTTTGTTTCTTTGTTTGTTTGTTTGTTTGTTTGTTTGTTTCTTTCTTTCTTTTTTTCTTTCTTTCTTTCTTTCTTTCTTTCTTTCTTTCTTTCTTTCTTTCTTTCTTTCTTTCTTTCTTTCTTTCTTTCTTTCTTTCTTTCTTTCTTTCTTTCTTTCTTTCTTTCTTTCTTTCTTTCTTTCTTTCTTTCTTTCTTTCTTTCTTTCTTTCTTTCTTTCTTTCTTTCTTTCTTTCTTTCTTTCTTTCTTTCTTTCTTTCTTTCTTTCATTCATTCATTCATTCATTAATGAAAACTCGAGGCTTGCTTATTAATGACTAAAATCTTAATTTGAAATCGATAAAATAGTTTAATAGCACTAGGGCCGGGCCTGAAATAATTTTTTTTTATACAAAGTCTTGCCCACTTTAATAAGAAAGTGTCATATAATTTTTACTGTTTATATTTTCAATTTTCTTAGAAACTATTCACAAAATACAGCCAGAATTATATAAAATAAATTCTAACAATCCGGACAGGGGGTGAAATATTCAACATTTAAATCCGACCTAGTTTAAAATTACGGCCTTTATATTATAAAGGGAGATTAAAAATGGAGAAATGGGTTATAAATTTTAATAAACAAAATATATTATAATTTATTAGTACAATATTATGATTAAGTAAATTTAAAAAATTTTCTCTCCTGCTCCGTACGCAGTATTATCTCAAGTCCGCCTGACCTAGCTTAAAAAAGGTAAGGGACCTACATAGCCCGCTCTAATAAGAAGCGTTACTTATATAAATGAATTTTTTTGAAAATACTTAAAAACTTAAACAACACTAGTATTATTGACTGTAAACGAAACCCTTACTTTTTTTCAAAACTATTTAAAATTTTTCCTTTTAAATAAATATTTAGAGTATCGCAAAGCCTTTTCCCAATTCGATAAAGAGGGCAAAGGTGAAATCCCCACGAGTAATTTAGCCATGGCTTTGAAGGTTTTAGGCCATTCGTTTGCTCCATCAGATCTTAGGGAGATGATTAGAGAATTTGATCCCGGAAGTATATTTTATATATTATACTATTTCCAATGTTAAAGTATCATTGCCAATAGCGTTAAATATTGTTTAGAAAGAAAGAGTGTAATATTTTGTGAAAAGTTATATATATTTTTTTAAAGAAATGCATTTCTACTTTAATGCCATTTATTTTTTGAGATAAAGTGAGTTTTTTAATCTTGGATCATTCAATGTGGACGAATGGCTGCAGACGGATGATATAGAGTACAAATGTTAAATAAATATTTTAAGTTTCCCAATAAAAATTAATAGAATTAGAATCGTCAGATATATTTTTGATATTTTTATTAATAATGGTGAAATAATTTAGAATATTATTCAGATTTATATTTGATATTTTTATTAATAATGGTAAAATAATAAAATAATATCGTTAAGATTTGTCATACCATATTAGTAATTACTGGGATATTCATCATATTATAGATTATAATCCGAATAATCTTAACATTTTACAAAATTTTAAATGTTCTTTACAGGCCTAGATGGGAGGGGGGGGATGGTAACCAAGCAAATAGGAAATTATATTAGATATTTTTAAATAGAAAATTATAGAAATATTTTTTATTGTTCATGCATACGAATTATTAATGAAGATAGTGGCAAATTGGATTTCGATGATTTCTGTATGATAGTTGCCAAATGGGTTCTAGATCAGGACACCGGTGCTGAGGAGGAGTTAAGAGAAGCATTTAGGCTCTATGATAAAGGTCGATTAGCTATATTTTAATTTATTATTTTATTTAAAAATAAATATGAGATATTTAAAATTATATTAATTTATTGATAATATCATAATACGTATATTTTTTAAAAGAAAGCAATGGTTACATCAAAGTTAGTGACTTGAGAGATCTATTAAGAGCTATAGATGAGAACATTAGCGAACAAGAATTGGATCAAATGATAAAAGAAATCGACTCCGACAGCAGTGGGACTGTTGATTATGATGGTAGTTGTATTGTTAATAATTCAAAATTTATTTATTATATCTTAAACTTTAATATCTCTTTGAATTTTATATATCTAATTTTATATTTAATAAAGAATTCATGGAGATGATGGGAGCTAAAAAGAAAAATTAATATTGCCGTTAAATCTAGCTAACATTAATTATCATCTTATTATAAATCGTATTCCAATAAATTAAATAATAGTTGTTACCAATAACTTGTACTATAAAAGGCCTTGTATTTAATTTTTCAATTATTTTGATTTTTCAAATTCAAATGTACATATAAACAATTTGCTAGGCAATATCTAAATATATATATTTTTAAAGTTTTATACTTTAAATATTCTTTGAGAAACTGCTTTTTAAATTAGACATATTTTACTTCAAAATGTATTTTTTTTATATGATGGCATGGAAAATAATTTTAAAGAAATCACCAAGAAAACTCACTTCTCAATAAAGAATGCTGCGTTTAATGTTATTTCTCTATTCGCGTAAATTTTATATTCGAGCAAAAAGTGTTCCCTAGCACGTCCAATTAAATAAATAAAATTGACTCAACGGGATAGGATTTTTATTTAGAGATATGTAATACTTTTTACTTATTTAAAATCACCTTAGTTGATAATTTATTAAATTATCTAATTCAGAACATAATTGTTTGGTTGTCGAAGAAAAAAAAACTCAATCTTTCATCTTTCTTAGATATTTAGCGTATTAACATTATTTTAAACAAATAGTTGAAAATTTATCGAAAATTTACATTTAAACATTCGATCGTTTAAATGAGATCTCGGCATTAGAGAAGCATGTTCCACCAGCATATGGTGTTGATCTGCATCGGGCTTTCAAGGCCAGCCTGGCATGAACTTTAAATAATATTCTCAGGGTTCCGAACAAATTTTTTTACTACAAACAAATAAAAAAAAATATTGGCGCCTTTTTTTTCTTTGAAAAATTTTGAAGTATATTTAATTTTATTTCATAATTCACACCCAACCCGGTCACCCAATTTGGAAATAATATTAATTCCGACCCAGCCAGAACCGAATTTTCTTTTAAAAAATTGGCTCTTCCGTACTTTTTCAGATCTCTAATATCATTCATAAAATGATTCCGTTTATTAATGAAAAGGAAAAGTATTGTTGAAATGAACAAATATGATAGAAAGATTTTTTATTTCATCTTGAAAGATTTTTTATGCATGAAAATTATAAAATATTTACTAAATTTTTTATAAAAAAAATTTGGCATTTTTAGGTAAATTTGATAAAATTGTTGAAGATTTTTTTTTCAAACTAAAGTAAATTATTTGAGACGAAAAATAATTCCTCGAAAAAACCCTCCTCTTCTAATAATTATTTTAAAATTTTTTTCTACAATACCCCCCCCCCCCCCCTGGCATCTCTCCCCTCCCAAATTGAGGGAATTATTTTCCGCGTAACCCTTTTATAACTCGAATTCTTCTCTATTTTTATATTATGGTGCAACCTTCAGCTCTAAACCTAGCATCGCCATTTTCTCCATCGAATCCCTCCGATTTTTTAAGCAATGGGAAATTTTTATTTATTTTTTAATATGTGATGTATATTTTTGAGTTGATCGGAAAGTAGTCGAATCATTGATTATTTATCCAATTATATAACTGATTTTGATATAAATATAAGTAGAACTAAATTGTTTTATGAATATTAATAAATAAATCAGAGTTTGTGTTGGTTAAAAAAAGGAAAAAAAATAATTTTAAAAATAATGAATGGATTTTAAAAAAATGATCAATGGTAGCTGATTACTAATAAAGAGGCTTGACAAAAAAATGGATCTAATTGTGTAGGGTTTAAAGTGGAACAACTAATTTAATGACACGATAAATTATTCAAAAAATAAAGCTGATAAAACCAAAAAAGTTACTTAATTTATAATTGGAATTAATTATAATAGAGTAGTTGATTGTTAAAAAAATCTGTTATAGATATGTTAATTGATTTTATAAGTTTATAATAATAATCATTGCATTATTATTTTAATAATTAGTTTAAAATTATTAATCTTAAACTTTTTACAAGACTTTATTTCCAACTTTTAACGTTTGTTTTTATAATTAAGAAATCCCAAAATTATGTCGTTAATATAAGTATCAACTTCGTAAGACCATCTGGCAATAACATCGTGTATAACGCCAACGCTAACATGAAATATAGAAAAGCTAAAACGATTTGCTTCGAAGAGATTTATGTAGGAGCTACCGTGAGACATCCGAATTTTAGATCATCTCTCGATAAAACGGCTTCTGATGGCAAAGATTATATGGGATTTTTTTTGAAGGATAATAGAAAATTCAATAAAGGAATTTCCTCAGATTGGGGAAATAACGGGGCGAAATGGGGAAATAAGGGGGTATTTGAAGATTCTTCAATCAAGCCCTCAGATGGACTAGGAAATAACGGAACCTCTATCTATAAAATGGGTGTCGATAAATCTCACACAGCACCTCTCGACAAAATGGGTTCCCTGGATAAATCTAAAGGAACGTCTCTCGGTGGGAAAATGGGATCTCCGTATAATTCTAATGGAAGGTCTATCGGAGGTAAAATAGGTTCCCAAAACAAATCTTATGGAGGATCCCACGGTGGAAAAATGGTTCATTTAGATAAATTTCGTGGAAAGTCTCAGCATGGTAAAATGGGTTCCCTGGATAAATCTCACGGAGCCTCTCGCGGTAGTAAAACGGGGCCTTTGGATAAATCTCGTCGAAAGTTTATAGCTGGTAAAATGGGTTCTATGGATAAATTAGGCGGAAAGTCTCATGGTGGTAAAATGACCCCCCTGGATATATATATATCAGATGGAAAGTCTCGAGGTGGTAAAGTAGGTTCTAAGAATAAATTCCATGCCAAATCTCATGGCGGTAAAATAGGTTCTCCGGATAAATCATACAGGATATCTATAGGTAAAATAGGTTCCAAACCTAAATCTCAGAAATTTGGAAATATCAGAACATTATCAAATAATATTCCCCCCGAAGGTCAATCAGAAGTTGCAAACGAGCAGCCTGACGAATCATCTATTCTACCAGATGAAGACAATTCCAGGGGTCTGGACATTGTAATATTTTCGAGGTCGATACATATTCTACCTCTATTATTGATCCTGATGCTATTAATTCTATTATGCTGCTGCCTAGGTAGGGCTGTATTACTCTACATAAGGAAAAAACGCAAGGATGCTTACGCTGCTACAGATGCAAAACAGCTATTGATAGCGAAACCAAGCTCCTCCAAAGTTAAGAAATCTACCTCCAAGGTTGGAAAATCAACCTCCACAGATAAGAAAAAATCAGTTAAATCCGGTACTGGTACCGGTAAAAAATCATCTCAACCAAGTATCTCTAAACCTGCTCACTCAAGATTAACTAAAAAAGTATCTCAAATAAGTATCACTAAAAAACCTCGTCTTAAAGGATCAAAAGTTATGTTGATAGTAAAAGATGCCCCGAAGAAGGATAAGAGTTCAAAGGATAAAGGTAGCTCTCGTAAATCATCGAAAGATGGAAAGCCTTCGAGAATGAAAAGCAGTACTAGTTCTAATAGCTAATAAAAGTTCTAAATATTATTTAACCTTTAATTTGATACAGAAACATTATTCGTTTTTTATATTAACGACTGATAATGTGTATTAAAAAAATATATGGATGCCAGGCCAGTATCATGTTACATTTTAAATGCACGAAAGGTTTTAGTATTAATAGTTTAATGAATGTTAATAGTATATGTGAATAAATTGGTAAAAATTAAGGAATAGTTTATCTTGTCTATTTATTCTTTACGATATTTTTAAAATACATTGTTATCATAAATGGGAAGGGCACTAACGCATAAACAATTTTTTTTAGTCCAGTACCGTAAATCTAACGACGCCGTTGAAGGTGATTGGTAATTATTATTTTGTCTCAAGGATTATTTTTGTAATATAGAAACTTTACGGTAATTATTATTATAATATAAGATTAGGCATCATTCTAAAAGCGAAAATAGAGCTACATAGAGTCTGTTTACAAAATGTTAAATTATACAGATGTTCTATCGTTTAGCAATGAATTACGCATCGTTTAATCGCGGTTGCTATAAACGAGAGGACACTTTCTGCTTATATAATTATCAAATTCTTATAAGAATTTAATTAATAATACGAATATTTTTAATCAACTACCCCTTACCCCCTTTAAAAAATATTATCAAATGTACTTGTCTAACATACATTTCTAAAATTGGGAAAAAAATCAATACGTGTTTAAAAAATAGCAATGAAATTAAACAAATCCGGCCAGAAAGTTCGTATCTAATTCTGCTGAACTAGGATGGTATAGCTGGAAATAATCGCTCTGCCAACCAACATGATAATTCATTTTAATCCTATTTTTTTGGTATTTCTAAGCCCTATGTGGTCCCGGTTAAAAAATTTTTAACCCCTAAGCTGAGATACTTCTTTACTATCTAACCTCAGAAAATTCTATTGCATTTTGCTGTTTCTAAATATTTTTTATTTGAACTATTTGGAATAACATTATTCATCTGAACCACGGGTCTTACCCGGTCTAAGCTTGTGGTTCATGCTCAGAGCTGGTTTAGTCGATTTTTAGACCCAAGCCCCAGTTTTGGGTTTTACACAACCAACAAATTAACAACTCTACCTCTGGCTTATAATTTCTTAAATAATATTTTTGGTTTTCACTTTTTTTAAAAATATATATAAATGCTTTTTTCAATAAAAATATTAATTGTAGTCATTAATTTTAATTTTGCATACATTTTTGGGAGACGGGGGAGGGGGTTAGAGGGCTAAGATTCACAAAAAATGGACATTTCCTAAGGTTACTCGTATGATTGAAGGTTAATCAGAATGTGTATTAAAATAAAAGGACATTATATAATTTTGATTGTGTAAAATTCACAAATCAGTCCAAATTTCCAAAACTTACAAAATGATTTATTTGATGTGAGATAATTTTTCACAATAAAATTAATAAGATTTATTTAAAACAGACGCTATATCATTTGCACTGCTTTCACTAATATCCTTTCTTATCATGAAATACATTCTTTCCTTTTATTTATATTAATATAGATGTTGGTTGCATAGGTTTTGTAAAAAGAAGAAAAGATGTTTGAGTTTGGGAGTGAAAACATTTTAGAGATAAAAAAAAACAATGCTATCTTTATCAGTTATTCATTCGATCGGAATTTGGTTGTTCCCGAAGGAATTGTTTTTTTTAACACATATGCTATATACACATAGTTACATATTTCTCTATAAGCATGTTTTAAAACTGATTTAATATTTTGCCTTTTACATTCGTCGAAATAATAATTCAGAAAAATATTCTTTAAATTCCGTTGACAAATCTTAACCT